TGTTTTATTATTTTCATTATAAGTATTTATGGGGGACAGGTAAAATATTCTTCTTATTCAGGCATTTATCATTAAATCAAGATTTGTACTACGATGTAACTTTAAAACTATTCTTTCCTGAATAGAGTTGGAGTTTAACTTTGCTCACGGACCTGCCCTAGGGCAGTACCACCCAATATATTTATAATTATGAATTATCATTTATAATTTATTTAGACATGGCAGTTTAGCAATTGTGAATGTTACATTTGAAATATAAAATAAAAATGATAAAAATTGAATTCAAATAATAAATAGTAAGTAATAGGAGTACTTTTCATCTATCATGAAGAAACGAGCTTTGTAAGCATGTATTTATGCCTGCATTGTCTGTGAAATAGTTTGCCTAATCAAATACTAAAAATTCATGAATAGTTTACCATGTTAAGTCTTTGATTGCATTACCGTTATCGACCATCGAAGAAATGTTCGACCTGCATTTAAATTTTATTGTATTATTATTAGTACTATACGTATTCGACATTGACGTTCATTTGGCTTTTCCTCCAAGTGAATTTGTTTAGTAATAAAATTATTTAAACCAACTTATTAAAAAATTGTCACAGAATCGAAATTATCAAGTGCTAAAGGCAACAGCATTCAAGGAAACAGATGTAGTGTGGAATTTTTGAGACGAGCTTTCGCCATTTATATTTTTTCTTTAAAGATTAAATAATAGAGTAGAGCGGGGCTTAAAGGTCAGTGGTTAATAAAGCCCATCACCGATTTCTCAAAAAAGTTAAGAATTTTTTAACATCAGTATTTAAAAGCAGAGGGAAAAAATGTATAACCAATCATCTCCTTGATTTTTATGACTATCGGGTAGTCATAAGCCTTTTATGACTATATTGCTATCGGGAGATAAACGGCAAAGTTTTAAAATCCATAACAAGAGTATTTTCTTTTGTTTACAAGAGTTTTTTGGTTGTTTAGACCTTAATATAATTTTTAAGTACATATACGTTATTTAATTGTTTTATAACATGTATTGATATTTTCAATTTAGATTCTACAGATTTTATTATATAACTTCTATAAAAGCTTACATGTGGGTGGGGTAAAACGGGACTATCTACAATATTATGTGAGATGATATAAGTTAGAGAATAGATGAGTAATTACAATTTATGAATACCATGTGCCAGTCATAATAAATATAAATACATAACTAATACGCTCATATTTATATTTATTTCTATGCCAGGAAATTCTTGAAGCATTGTATTTTAAAGTAAGCATTCCGTAATTAACTTTATATTTTTGCAATTAAACAGTATCTTATACATATAGTTATTGTGTTAATGTTGTAGGGACAAATTTTAAATTTAAAACTATTAAAAACCTGATCGAAATATATATGTATCTATAGAAATATTTCAATCTGCGCATATTGAATTATTTGAATGTACTGAGAGAGTTCTCCGTCTACAAATTTAGTTCAATTACTGGTTGATTGCTTGCGCATAGGAAGATGCATTAGTATTCATAATAGTCAATTTTTTAACATGGTGCTGATTCGGATAATAGACAATAACTAGTAGTGTATGACATCGTGCCTTAAAGCAAATTAAAAAGCGTCGTACCTTAATGAAATATTCGAGGAATATAAAATGTTTGCAAATAGATTATTATAAATAACGTAACTTTCATTTTTCTTATTTTATAAAGAGTAAATAAACAAAACTTAATCAATCGGATTTAAAATGAAGAACATTGTCTAATATTTCTAACAAAGTAAGTATTATATAAACTGAATTGTAAAATTAAAATTATTTATTTGAAGTATATAAGTGATGTTCAGCACTTTAGCCAGAATCAGAATTAAAATCCGAATTATGTTTCAGTAATTTAAAAAATCTTTCTTCAAAAGCAATAGTTTCGTCAACACAAACAGAAGGCTTTTTAAATCATTCGAATCGGACGCTTAGTTTTCTTAAAACCTGCCTTTGTCAAAATCTAATCACCACTTCTGCCCATCATTACGAATCGAATGCTTTTTGGATCATTCAAATCGGTTGATCCGTTCTCTTAAAAATTGATATTTTAACACTTTTTGCTCCATATCTCCGAAGCCACTGGATCTGTCTTCGTCAAAAAATAATCAGCACGTCTTCTCATCACTAGGAATGGAATGCTTTTTGAACCATTCAAATTGGATATTTCGCACACCCGAAATAGTCGAAAAATTATTAGTCTCCACACACACACATCCATTTTTTCTGTGGTTTGCTAAAATGTTCAGAAACCTCTGAAACGTGAAGATATGCAAAAATTTTCATTTTTGATTTTTGACCCATTACTATAACTTTCTCTACGAGAAGTTAATAAATATTCGGACATTTTATTAACAAAATTTTTACAATTAGCAACTAGAGAAAAACTTTTCGTTAATAAAGCTATATTGAATCTCAAATTATTCTAAACAGTTCAATTATTTTCAAAGATATGTTGCCGATTTTATTTACCATATATCCACAACATGTAGTCATTTAATCAGCGATGCAGCATACCTTTTTCAAATATCGATCCACTTCAGTTTCCAATACTTTTCACTATTATATGTATCAAGTTTTACATTTGTTCAATTTTCGTAACATTTGCCATTTTTTTACTTTCATGTCTTCTTTGTATAACGGACTTACTCTGAACTAATTTTGAACCATTTATTTGAACCATTGATTATTTTCTTGATTATAGTAGATCAAAAATAAAATAATTTGTTTATTCTAGGTATAAATATTGATGTAGGTAAATTTATCTAATTGTAAGTGGAGTTACACTATAAAATGAGATGTGCTCTTTGGCCTTCTTTGTGATTTATGATAAGCCATAGGAAATTTTTAAAAAGAGGAACGTGTCTAAATTCTGTGTACAATTATATATAGAACACCACTGATTAAAGCACTATCTCAAAATTAAACAAACTTGCGTTGCATTTCCTACATTATATCAAAACATCTATAAATTGATAACTTTATCATAAGAAACTAAGTCTTACATTATTACACTATTATATATGTATTTAAGCGTATATTTAATAAGAAGTATTACGACAAATTAAAACATCGATTTTTTTTTCTTATTTCTATCAAGTAAAATTTGGTGTCGATGTCTAAATAATAAAAACAAATAAATATTTGATAAAACATTATTATAAATATTAGTTGTAATCGCTTTATTTATATCATTTTACAGTCATTATAATTACGATAATATATCAATTAAGATTAATATATTATGCATAAAACCAGTTTATAACCAGTTCTATGTAATTAATTTTATTGCTTGCAAGATATTAAATTTATTTTGATATAGTAATAGTATCAATACTATCAATGCATGAATTTGCCAAACTGCAAACTTGGATTAAAATTATTTTATTTTTATTATTGACTCTAGGTTTCTAAATCGATGCTTTGGTCGAACTCTAGTATCAAGCAGTAATAATTTCCATTTTCACTTGAGAATATAGATAAAATTATATTTCAAATTGAATACATTAAAATAGCATGGTTATATTAAAAAAAAATGGCTTATTTTTTCTTGTGTTTTGGGGGAAATTATTTATATTTGTAATGATTTTTAAAAATCGATGAGCTTAAGCCAGTACTACTGATTTCAAACATTTTTTTGTAATTATCAGGTGTTTGATAGATTTTTTATTATGTATTCATTTTTGTTTACTTTCGGATAAAATGATATAAGATTAAAACCTGTCAAAGGTTAGCTTTTAACTTTTACTCTAAATACTTCTAAGAACAGAACAAGGAATTTACTGATAAGAATAGTAGACTTACATTTAATGCAAAACCCTTTTTTCTCATTCTGAGCCCGGCAAAGGGAGCATTCATTCACGTGAGGTTTCTAGGGGGACGGGCGGTTTGACAAAAAATCACGAAATATCACGTAGGGGAATTAGGGTTGTAGTAAGATATCACGTGTATTTATTTTCCAACTATTTTTTTAAAAAAAGTTCAAACATTTTCGAAAAAAAATTAAAAAATTACAGTTTTACGTAACTAGAAATACACGTGATGTTTGATTGGGGAGAGGGGAAAATTTTGAATATCACCATATATCAACACGGTGGAGGGGGGGGGGGTTCAAAAATCCTTAAAAACTCGCTCACGTGATTAATGGACGATGGACGCCCCCAAAGATTGTTTACCTTTTGATCTCTGGCTTCATGTGCTGATATCCCAAAGAGAACCAAACGATTTATTTATTAAACGTCTTTAAAATTAGTAATTCATTATGTCCTTACTCTACATGTCATTTTGCCCATACTATATGGACAAAATGGTTTTTCTAATAGGTAGCATTTTTCCTTAATAAGTGTTTTTATAGTCCTTATTTATTCAAATGACTATTTTGTCGGTAGTCAATGAACCAAAGATGACTAAAAACCATTGAAACTGATTATATCGTTAAATAAATTATAATTGAAAAAAAAAATAAAAAAAACTATGTCATTTTGTCGTTACTTACCCTATCAAAGTATCAGCACAGCAGACTATAGAATTTTTAGGTATAAATCCTGTTCTACAATAATAAAAAATAAGTGTTATAAAGAACCAATCGGATCTTAAACACCTAAATTTCTGATAGCTACTAAATGAAGGTAACAAGAAGTATGTATCATTGATCAATATTCATTTTGCATACTAAACTACATAAAAAAGTATGATATTGTTTTTGATAATTTGTGAATATCATATTATAAATATAGTCTTTCCCGATCAATTGACAACTTTAACATTTTTTTTTTCAAATGATCTTTAGGTTATGGAAAAATTAATACAAATACCAAGTTTATTTTTTACTGACTAAATTTTTATATTTTTGTCTACGAATAAAAAATATGTATTTTCGTTTCTAATTATATAAAAATAAACTCATGAACATAACTATATAATATCGTATATCGATTAATAACCCATTCGATGATATTTTTTATTCAGATGACTGGGTGTACGCTCAGGGTGCGGCTGCTACCCCAATCAACTTATTAGGTGCGATGACTGCACATGGGAAGAAGCAAGGCCTGAAGAATGTGCGCGTCTGCCACATGCACACTGAAGGACCTGCATTATACGCTCAGCCTGATTGCGAAGGGATATTTAGGCGAGTACTGTTTATTTTTATTTATATTCTGAACTAAATCAACCCTTTGGCTAAAAGCGTTGCCTACAGTTGACATGCGTTTGCTTCAATATTTATCACTCTAAAGAAAATTTTTGAGAATTCTAATTTGTTCTTTACATTTTTATTCATTATGATTGAAAAATTTTAATATATGTTGTTGCGCCTGGTTCAGTTGCGCTACTGGGCGGCACACTGTTTCGTACAGCAGTGTCGTAGTGAAATGGTTAATATTTTTTACATTTTGTTTATGGTCAGAATATAAATAAGAGTACCGCTTTGTTAGAATAAATTTCATAATTCTAAACATTTTACTTTCGCTCCCATACTACAAAATCGTTGGTGGCTTTGCCCTTTTAGTGGTTATCCTTTGGGACGACTAGCTGTTCTGTATGATCGTTATAACATTATAATTTGTATAATTTTTTATACTATAAGATTATATACAATACAACTGATTTGACCAAGTTTTTTTTTTAATATCGAATATAAATAAATCTTCTAAATTTATATGTACTTATTATTATCAGATCTGTATCATTCTTCATGGGAGGCAACGTACGTGCAGCTGTGAATGAAGGACGAGGCGATGCAATTCCAATCTTCCTATCAGAAATACCTCTTCTATTTCAAAAGAAAATTATTCAACCTGATGTAGCCATAGTTCATGTAAGGATGTACATTCGTTATCAATGCAACACATTTTTAAAGATACCTACTTAGTCAATTATATTCAATGCGTATAATTTACAGAGTTAGTTTTATTGGATAGTATATAATCTAATTGAAATTCCTATAAGGATCAATATTTAAAACTAGGTTTCTGGAATATTAATAGAATAATAATTGTTATTATACGTAATTAAAATTTTAATAAAGTTAAACCAACTTATTTTTAAAAAAAAACATCTTATTCTGCATACTAGGTTTCTCCTCCAGACGCTCATGGATTCTGCAGTTTAGGTACCAGTGTTGACTGTGCCAGAGCTGCGATGCAAGCATCAAAAGTGATAATTGGTAAAATATACGATTATTTATTTTATTGTATTTTATTATTATTTTTCAAGACTAGTGCTAATTTATTTTTAATCATGCAGCACAAGTTAATCCTAAAATGCCCCGTACATTTGGTGACTCATTGTTACACAAAAGTCACATAGATTATGCTGTAGAAATTGATGAACCGTTGGTAACCCATGGCGGAAAACCACCTAGTGAGGTGAGATATGTTAAGTCGCGTTTTATTTTTTATACTACTGAGATGTAGCCTCACTTTGATATACATATTACTGTATTGCAAAATTTTAAGTGTTTCAATTGAATTCTTTAAAATCTCCTAAAATTATTGTGTCAATAAACAGCTTTATAATAAATGTTCTACATTCTATTAATCAACTTTTACAGGTGGAAACTGCAATTGGTGCACATATTGCAAATAACTTGGTGGAAGATGGTGCCACACTTCAAATGGGTAAATTGAATATTTTAACATATCATTTTGTTTATAATAAATACTATAATGTATTACTAACTTTGTCTGCTTCTTATAAATTGGATATACAGTACAGGCCAAAAGTTTCCGGACACATGAAAAAAATCTCATTTTCTGAGTTTTTAGCTATATTTTTCATATAAAAATAATTTTATTCAAGTTAGTTTTGTACATTCTACGTAGTATTAATATTTAGTGACTGATTTATAACCAATTTGTGTGAAATGATGGACGAATTAGCAATGAAAATGTTAAAATGTCACAGTCGATTTTCCTGAATATGACCACACTTTGCTTTGATCACTGCAGCGCATATTTTAGGTAATCTTTTGACGAGTTTTTGCAATGTTTGCGCAGGTATGTTCTTCCAGGACTCGCTAAGGCAATTCCACAGGGCAGGGAGGCTTGTTGGATGTAAATCCTTCACGCAGTGTTTAAGTGGGTGATTGTGCAGGTCACTCCATTATTTGAAGTATTTTTTCGTCTTGTTTAAGCGTCAAATAATTGGCAAAGAGTCAGGAAGCGTGTTTAGGGTCATTATCTTGTTGAAAAATAAATTTTGGTCCAATTAAATTAAGACCAGATGGAATGGCGTGGCGCTGAAGTATGGTATGATACTGTTCTTTCTTTAAAGTTCCATCTATTTTGACAAGCGATCGGACTCCATTGAATCTAAAACAACCCCAAGCTATCACTGAACCACCACCGTGCTTCACCTTTGGCGAAATGCACTTAGAATTGAGTCTTTCATTACCCTTCCTACGTCGATGATTTCCGAAAAGTTCGAATTTTGACTCATCCGTCCATAAAACTGATTTCCATTGATCGATGGTCCAATTTAAGTGGGTTTTGGCAAATTGCAATTTTTTTTGTTTATTTACTGCTCGCAGAAGTGGTTTTTTGAGTGGCCTGCACAATCGCCGGATCTTAATCCAATAGAGTTGTTGCGGGACGAGCTTAAATGCCGCGTGAAGGATTTGCATCCAACCAGCCTTGCTGCTCTTTGGAATTGTCTTAACGAGTCCTGGAAGAACATACTTGCGCAAACATTGCAAAAACTCGTCAAAAGATTACCAAAAATATGCGCTGCAGTGATCAAAGCAAAGCAAAGCATATTCAGGAAAATCGACTGTGACATTTTAACATTTTCATTGCTAATTAGTCCGTCATTTCTCACAAATTGGTTACAAATCAGTCACTAAATATTAATACTACGTAGAATGTACAAAACTAACTTGAATAAAATTATTTTTATATGAAAAATATAGCTAAAAACTCAGAAAATGAGATTTTTCATGTGTCCGGAAACTTTTGGCCTGTACTGTATGTTGTTACAATTTTTATCATATTTATTAAGTAGTCTTCATATTAAATTTATACGATTTTATCTTTTTTATTCTCTTTCAGGTATTGGTAACATTCCTGATGCAGTTCTTGCCAAACTACATAATCACAAAAATCTTGGAATTCATTCTGAAATGTTTGCCAATGGTGTAGTGTCTTTAGTGAAGGAGGGTGTTGTTACAAATACTAAAAAGTCATTCCATAAAGGAAGAATTGTTGGTTCCTTTTTAATAGGAACTCAAGAGCTTTATGATTTTGTTCATAATAATCCTTCCATAGAAATGTTGAGAGTGAATTATGTTAATAGCACTGCTGTCATTGCCAAAAATCCAAAAATGACAGCGATTAACTCTTGTATTGAAGTAGATCTGACTGGTCAAGTGTGCTCCGATTCCATTGGAACGAGGCTTTATTCAGGATTTGGTGGACAGGTTGATTTCATAAGAGGTGCTGCAGAAGGTTTAGATGGCAAAGGAAAACCTATTATTGCTTTACCTTCAGTTACCAAAAGAAATGAATCCAAAATTGTGCCAATACTCAAACCAGGTAGGTTACCAAATTTAATATATAATATTGTGCACCAACTAGTAATAATAGAATATAAAAGTAATATATTTCTGTTGTTTATTCTGCGTTACATAATATATATCATTTCACTAACAGATGAAAATGTGGATTTTAGTTCTGAATATTTAGAAATGTGTTCATTTTGAAACTGTAGTATATTAAAAATCTGATATAAATTTGAAGTCCCTATAATAATATAGAAGTTCTAAGATGACTTTTCTCATAAATAATTGTTCCTAATTTATTATGTTTCATGATTTAACTTACATTCACTTCAAAGCGTTTGTCAAAGATGATGCCTATTTGCTTATTTTTCTTAATGCATATGGAACGAATAAGAATTGATTAAAATTTTTTACATAAGTTATCATTTAATATATTAAGTATTGATCAATATAAAATATTGCTTTTTTATAACTTATAATGGAGTAAAAAGAACATTATCAAAAATAAATAAAAATAATAATCATCGATATGCATAGCTATTGATTTCATTCAATTGAGAGACATCATATATATATCAAAAAGAGTAAACTAAATTTTTGTGCTTTGCATTGTTTAATTGTAATTTATTAACTAATAATATTAATTGATAGTGCATTCTACAAACTTATAACTTCAATATTTTAGGATCTGGTGTTGTTACTTCCCGAGCACATGTGCACTATGTTGTGACTGAGTATGGAATCGCTCATTTGTTTGGTAAAACATTATTAGAACGAGCATATGCTCTTATTCAAATTGCTCATCCAGATCACAGAGAAAGCTTAGAAAAAGCTACCTTCGAAAGATTCAAAGCCATGCCAGTTAAGAATTAGCCTAAGAAAATATTTAATTCAAATTTACCTAATTTTTTATATAAAAATTTAAATTTCTGTTAATACTAGTGGGCATATTTTTAATTTTTGTGATTCATTATAGATGTATTATTCATTTGCTTGAAGTGCCTATTATCATAAATATAAATTTATGCATTTCAGTCTCTGCCACTGTAATAGCATGTAATAAGTCTTCATAAAAGTATTTTTTGTTTGATAATATACATTTGATTATACTATCTTTCAATATATTTTTAATATTGTTTATAGTCAAATTATTGAATGAATATTTCACATAAATGTCATTTTTTTTTTGTTTATACTATGTTCTGCTCAAAGTTACACTTTTCGGTTAGTTTATCTGTAATTAGTGTTTTCACTTATATTTAGTTAATGCTAATCTCAACTCATAATAAAACTGAAAAAAACCACTGCCACTATTGAGTATTTATCATTTTTGCTCATATTTGGTATTTACAACAAAATATTATCATAATACATTAATAAATTTGTGCCTTCTGGTCACTTTTTATCAAAGTTGCATGGAGATTTTGGGAACAAAATAATTATTTGATTCATTATTATGCAAAATATTACACAAAACGGAATAAACATTTAATTAAAATTTGGTGAACCACTCATTTAAAAAATCTGAAGTAATAAAACAGGCTATATTGAAAGTTTTTGAAAAGGTCAGATATGATTTTTCATAGTCCTAACTTTATATGCATAGCAAGTATAAAAAATACTTTGTACAAAATGGTTCACAGGACTTTTTGAATTCGACATCTAGATTGCAATGTTCAATGGATAATTTAGCTGAAGATTTAATTTCAACATATGATGTCTTTTATACAGTTCATATGTAATATATATTTTGATTATGATAATTTGTATATTATTTATGAAAAGTTACAATTTATTTTTAATCAAATTCATCTTACAGTGCTTGTTAATATTTATGATATGAATTGTTAGGGAAAATATTTCTAATGTATATTTATCACTTGTATGTAAAATAAAAATCAGAACAATATACTAGGTTTTTATTTGATTCATGTTATTGATGAATATTATGTATTTTCATTAAAACCGTGAAAAGTTATATTTCAGTGTGTGTGATGATATACAAATTGCTTATAATGTGTAAATTTAGTAAAAATGCGTCACCTGAGTTATTTTTAGAAAAACTCAGGACTCAATTTCTTCAAACCCTTTTTGGGAATTGAAATGACCACCACAGTACTCGTGGCTATTTGCTTACCGCACGCTCAAGTTCTAACAAAAAAAAGTTCTGTCTAGTTTGAAAATAAGCAAACCAGAATGAGTTAATTGCCCATCATATTATTATAATTTTATATACATAAATTCAAAATTGAATTGGTGAAAAGTTTATTTTTATAGCTGTTGCAGATACAAGGCTCGTCTAAGTCGTCATCAAAACCAATTAGCGTGTGGCCTGCTCAAACAAAGAATCTGCAATGATTTACTACATCAAAACACATAATATCTGACAAGGAGCTATCGCAGGAAAGCGATCCTTCTCACACTGTCGAATAAAATATTCCTGTAAAGTAACTGAATGTACTGTGTGTATAGTTTGCTATGTACAATAAAATAAAACAAAAACTAAAAAAATATTCAAACATTGTGGAGCATTCAAAAGTTCAGAGATATAACCTGCAGACTTTAAAGCCACTATTTAATTAAAAAATATCCTGTGGACGTGAAACGATGTTATTCTATTCAATTAACATAAAACTCTAATTAATACCAATGGCATTTATTTAGATTAATAATACAAATTAATACATTTTTTAACTTATTTTATAACATTCACAAATCAAGAACCTTGATGTTCATGCACACATTTTCAAATTAAATCTTAAATTGTAAGGTAATTAAAAAATAATTCATAGAGTATCATACAGTCATCATATAATCCTTATTTATTCTAGTTTTCCTGGCGTTATTATCTTCTAGAGGCCCAAACATCGCTAATCCAATTGATGGGCGCCAAAATGATTTTATTCGCGGCTCTTATGATAGGCCAAACAGCGACTCGTGCTTTGTTGAGAATTCCCGATGCATAAGCTCGTAATACCAGTCCAAGTAGGAAGTATAATAAGACCATTAAATAGACGATGGTGTCCGACAAAGTTGATCCTCCCAGAACGTCATATATCCGCCGCACGCAACGTCCACCATATAGCACTTGAGATATACAAATTTCGTCTGCAAGGGGTATCATGTCCAGGAGATCGGGTAATACGTCGAAGCTGAAGTGAACTATGGAGCCCCATATTAAGCTCTCCGTCACTTCGACGATCAATTTAACAAGAACAAACTCATACATTAATAGGGGAACGAACCCGAGAATCCTGAACGCCTCCGGATAAATTTTTGCGTCAAATATGACGACCAGTGTAGTTACAAAGAAGAAAAAATTCGCCAGCCATGGTCCTTGATTGAGATGATTTTCTGCAATCATCAACCACATATTCTTATAGTAATGAACTATAATTGTAAGAAATATAGTGTTAGCGTAAACCATGATTTACTTAAAAAACTTGTGTTTAAGTTACGAAACTGGATATAACGAGCGAGCTCTGTACAACTGTATCAAGTTTTGGTTGCAACTAACTTCAATCCCATTTTCAGTACCCTTATTGGTTGTTGAGCGGAATCATAGATAAATGAGCGGGAAAACAAACAAAATATATTGCGTATTGGCGCGCAATTATACTCTTATTTTATCTAAGCGCGCAACAAATATAAATATGAAGTTAGCGAATGTATGAATATGAAAATATAATAAAGTTTAACCCTCCGTCGGTCGGATATTTTTTCACCTTCAACGGTCGGAAAGGTCTGGCTGGACCACCATTCATTTGACATGCATTTATATGGGATGAATGAGTATGAATAATTATCTATTAACGATTATATAAAAAAATCAAGAAATATAAAAAAAATCGTTGCTTTTTTTGTTAATTTTTCTCTTTTAAATCAATGAAAAACAATATTTATTCTTTTTCGGCGCTTTTGAAATGAATGTGTGCATTAAGGTGCGTCCACACCTAACGAACGAACACGAACGAACATGTCGAACAAGAAAATACAAAGAAAAACGAACAGGAACACGAACGAACGCGAAAAATTCCAAACGAACTTGAACAAGCGCTTAAAAGCAGTGAGCGCTTGAATTTTCGTTGTTCGTAGATGTTCCGTGAAACGTCAGTTTTATTATTGATATGGATGTAAGCTTTAATCATACGGCATTTTCACTGGTTTTTGTGTGATTTTTGTTCGTGTATATTTTGTAAATATACTGTAAATAAATTATTCAATTAATTTCACTCAGTTTTTGTATTTAATATTTATATTTTAAGTCGTTTTCTTTCCTCAGCATTCATATTCGGAGCAAGCTGAACAGTCCAGGCTTGAGCTAACTATACTCAATTTTCAAACTCTCATCCTCAACATATATGTTGAATGTCTATGTATGATAACAAGTTCAATATTTACTTGTAAAGACTGCAATTTCTTCTTTACTGCAGCTTCTGACATCCCAAACGTTTTGCCTACACTTTGCCAAGCATCGTTTTTTTTCTAATAATTTTATAAAAAGGGTCTTTAGTCTCCCATATTATAGAAAACTTTTCTATTTCATTTATGAATGATAAAATTACGTCATTTGACCATTCCATAATTTATTCAAAATTTTCAAACTGTACACAATAATTAAAAGTAAATATTATTAAAATTTTCTAACTGTACACAATAATTAAAAGTAAATATTATTAAATTAATAAAATTATTAGTAAATTATTAAAAAATTATTATTAAATTATTAAAATTATTAAAACAAAAATGTTCGTTTGCGTTCGTTGAGACGTCCACACTGCACATACGAGTTCAAACATGAACGAACAATTCCCTTTGATGTACCGACAAGTTGCGGAACATTGCTCGCCATGTTTGTTTATGTTCGTTCGTGATCGTCGTGGCGTCCACATTAAGGTGCGTCCACACCTAACGAACGAACACGAACGAACATAAAAAAACGTACCAGAACGAACGGCAACAGCATAGTGTGGACGCCACGACGATCACGAACGAACATAAACAAACATGGCGAGCAATGTTCCGCAACTTGTCGGTACATCAAAGGGAATTGTTCGTTCATGTTTGAACTCGTATGTGCAGTGTGGACGTCTCAACGAACGCAAATGAACATTTTTGTTTTAATAATTTTAATAATTTAATAATAATTTTTTTAAATTTAATAATAATGTTATTAATTTTAATGTTTGAAAATTTTAATAATATTTACTTTTAATTATTGTGTACAGTTTGAAAATTTTGAATAAATTATGGAATGGTCAAATGACGTAATTCATCATTCATAAATGAAATAGAAAAGTTTCCTATAATATGGGAGACTAAAGACCCTTTTTATAAAATTATTAGAAAAAAAAACGATGCTTGGGAAAGTGTAGGCAAAACGTTTGGGATGTCAGAAGCTGCAGTAAAGAAGAAATTGCAGTCATAGATAAAAGAAGAGTATGATTGCAGTCTTTACAAGTAAATATCAAACTTGTTATCATACATAGACATTCAACATATATGTTGAGGATGAGAGTATGAAAATTGAGTATAGTTAGCTCAAGCCTGGAATGTTCAGCTTGCTCCAAATATGAATGCTGAGAAAAGAAAACGACTCAAAATATAAATATTAAATACAAAAACTGAGTGAAATTAATTGAATAATTTATTTACAGTATATTTACAAAATATACACGAACAAAAATCACACAAAAACCAGTGAAAATGCCGTATGATTAAAGCTTACATCCATATCAATAATAAAACTGACGTTTCATGCTGCGTCCCCACTGCACGAATCCGTGCGGCGAATCCTGTTCGCGACGCACGCATGCGTTGGCTCTTGTGCGCGACGCACACTGCGAGCAATTTGATACATTTGAAATTTTCAGGATTCCATAATATTTTTTTTCTTGATACAGTTCAATTATAAGAAGTGTAAAGAAGTATAACATCTTCTCTACGCATATCCATTTTCAAAATTGAGGATACGATAAAATATCTTAATGCCTTCACTGTACAATTGAACTTATACCGTAGCACAGATCAACGTTTACGTACAAGTTCAAAGAAATAACGTATACGGATACAGAGGCAGGCTGACCAACAATTATCAGTTTTGAATAAAAATTATTACGTCTGTTCTAAATATAAATACTTGTCAGAAAAGACTTTGAGCAAAAATTCAGTCTGCATATTAATAAGATTTTAAATGATATTTAGCGTAATTGCAAATAATACAATATTACCATTTTTTTTTTTTTGAAACATTTAATTTATTTTGAATAATAAATATATGATACGTCATATAAGTAGTAAGAGTATATATATATATATATATATATATATATATATATACATGATAATATCATGATGATATAAAATTAACTCTGAAATATGATAAATAAAGTCTACCAAAATATATTTTAGTTGGATATACATATATTTCAACATATCGATAACTTAATTACCGATGTATTTCCTATACTAATAGTTAGATAAAATTATAATTAGTACATCAATTTTAATGACTGCTTACTTGTTTACATTTTTGATCCGCGCTTTGACGCTAATCCATTAGTGTCGGTTCGGGTATTCTCGGCAGCCCGATGCGTCGGGTTGCTCGCGGCGGGAGCGAGCGCCGCGAACGCAAGCTATTGAAATTTTCGTGTCGCTTCGACCATGTTCGGCAGGGTACGTAATTCTAAAAATAACCCCCCCCTCCCATTTTCAAACAAAAAAAGAAGAAAAAAGTGCGCTATAGACATGCGCAGTGGACAAATTTAAAGGAAATTCGTGCGTTCGCACAGTATCACTCCGCTGCGCAAATTTGTTCGTGACGCACCATTCGCCGCACGGATTCGTAACAGTGGAGACGCGGCATCACGGAACATCTGCGAACAACGAAAATTCAAGCGCTCACTGCTTTTAAGCGCTTGTTCAAGTTCGTTTGGAATTTTTCGCGTTCGTTCGTGTTCCTGTTCGTTTTTCTTTGTATTTTCTTGTTCGACATGTTCGTTCGTGTTCGTTCGTTAGGTGTGGACGCACCTTTATGCTGTTGCCGTTCGTTCTGGTACGTTCGTTTATGTTCGTTCGTTAGGTGTGGCGCACCTTTACTCATCCTATTTTCAGTGTTTGCGATTACCAATAAGTTTGGTAGGTTTTCAAGGAACTCTCGTCATGAAAATACTAACATTCATGTTAGAACACATAGCAAAGAATATAAACAACGCAGTTTGAATAGAAAATACCATGAAAAAAAACAAAATACTGGTTTACATATATCAAAAAGCGTATATTTCATACAAAATAAATGGGTGGTCTGGACAGACCTTTCCGACCGTTCGAAGTATAAAAAAGTTAATATCCTTATAATTATCCTTCTGTACATTTTTTCGTCCTGATTTTTTCATTGATCGACAGCTAATGAAATTTTAGGAAAAGTCAAGAAATTTCAAGTCGATAGGATTACTAGTATTTTTTATTTTTAATTGAAGTCGAAAAAAGTCTGGCCAGACCACGCCGACCGACGGAGGGTTAACAAGACTTTTTGACAATATTGCATTATTGCACTATAGTATATATTAATATATTATTGTAATATAAAAATACAAAATTAAATAAGTTGTCTTAATATTTCACATATTAAGGCAACAAGAAAAGAATACGTTATAATTAATTTATTGAAAGGAGATGGTTTATGAAGTAAATAGAATTTTCTATTTTTAAATAAAAAGCTTTTGGTTGAGCCTCAGAAAAATATTCAAAGGACCGCATGAAGTCCGCAGGCCGTGTGTTTTTTCATATACAGTAGAACCTCGTTTACCCGGCCCTCGGTTATACGGATTCGCGATTATCCGGACAACCAACCGCGTCCAATTTCTATGATTTTTGCATGATTATATATATATATATATATATATATATATATATATCAATGTACAAATAATGTATAAGGAAAGAAGTTTAGTTTTATAATAAACATTATTTTCATTGATATCTATGTATGTATTTGTTATTTTTAATAAATACCCAACATTATTATTCATACACCCGAGTTAATCCGAACTAAGTAATTATTTATATAATATATTATCTTAATTAAATAGATTTTGTAAATTTTACACAATACATTTTTGACGAAGTATTATTCGAATCCTTTTTACAAAAGTACGGTATGTTTAAACATATTTAATCGCATACTGATAATTAACAAATTTACTATCCATAACCATGCAAAGTTTTGAAAGAAAAATGTTATATTAGCTTTATTTTAAGAATCCGACTTGGTTTAGAATTAAGACTCAAAACGTTCAATGTTTTGAAGTTTTCAAACGGCCGAGCAATCTAAAATATTTCAAATCTATGCCTGACCCGCTCCCTATTGTACAATGACAGCAGCTTTGTTATGAATGATAAGTTACCAAATATTACTTATTGATTTGTTACTTTTTCAAGTAGTAATGGCGATGGATTCTTAAAATCACTCAAAATAAATATGATTAAAAGATAGCTTTATTGTGTTGTGATATGATTATGGTCGTCAACAAAGCCATTGTAAGTGAAAGACGTGTGCGATCGTTTATTGGTGAGGTTCTGTTTGTGTCTAATCGTCGAATGTGATTCGTTATATACTGGGCGCCAGTATTTGATCGAGTCGATATCAAATCACTTAAAATATGATCCACGAATCATGATAATTTCAGAAAATAAAATTCTCGATAAACATAAATATATAGTGCAAAAAAATTTGATTGACTTTAGGTGTAATTATGCGGGTTTTCAGAACTAATATGTGATGTTTTTAACAAATATCTGTGTGCCACCAATCGACCTGACTTGCGTCGAATATCAAAAACATGACAGTATAATTAAATTATGTGATATTTTTTGTTAATTATTTTATTGGTAACTTGAAAAAATGTTGTATAGTAATTTTGTTTTCATGATGATTTATTAATAGGTCTAGATTATTTTTTGTTTGGCAAAATTTCTGTATACTGTCATCTTGTTTTGTTTTTGATTCAAAATCAAGAAAGAGGATCTCAGTGTAAGGTTAGTATTTTTAAAATTTATTATGATGAACTAAATTTTTTGTATGTTTTTGTTATGGAACTACATTACCGATGAAACGTGGGTTTGAAAGTGAGGTTATGTTCATAAACTTTGCTAGTTTCGTATGAGTTTTCTAATATATTTTATTGATTGTTTTTAGTATTTTAACATGGATACTCACGACTTACGCAAAGGACCAACTGTAATGTCGCCAAATTGTTCAAATTGTAAGCCAGAACCACTGCCAAAAATGCGTCGCAGATGCAAAAGTGAAACTCTAGATGCTCATCGAATAAATAAGAGGCCACCTTTTTTTAATAGTGACAAATTAACTGCTCTAGGTACAAATAATGATAGCCAAATCGATTATCAAAAAAACAGCAACATAAATGAAAAATCCCCCAAAAAGTATTATCAGCATAATTCACCTAAAGCTGATGCTGCATTTGCCAATGAATTATTTTTCAACTCAAACTTTACATATAAAGATAAGCCTAAATCTTCCTCGGCCTCTAAGACTTATGAGAATGGCTTATATAATATGGATCCAAAAATTTTGTGCAATGGGTTTGATAAAAATTTTAGTACAAATAACAGCTTTAAACCACATGTGATAGACAAACAAGCATTTATTAACCTTCATCCAAAGTTATTTCAAGAGATCTCGCCGTCCAAGCTTGATGCAAAACGAAAAGAGGAAACATATAGGCAGTTTTGTCATGATGTTGATACATTGCGTGGAAAGCTGAATCATCTGAAAAATGATACTAACCAACATATGAATTTAGAAAATTATATCAAGAAAAGCATTATACAAGCGAATAAATACAAAGAGAATGGGGAAAAGGCCAATGAAAATTCATGTTTTAACTGTAATGTTTCAAATCAAACTATCAAACAAAATAGTATAGCTGCTGATAATGTTATGCATCGAACTGCCTGCAGATCTGATAAATTAAAAGATAAATCTGTTAATAATTATGTTCAAAATCAAAGTCCATTGAAATGGCAGGGTGAAAAATCATTCAACTTCCATGCTTTAGCTGTTTTTAAAGGAGTACATGATTCTAATATGTTACTAACTAGTGGTGCTGATGATGATTCACCCAACCAAATTCAGAAAACCAAAACAAAGAGGCGTGTTCGAGCTAAAAGTGAATCTGATACAGTTTCTCAAGTGCAAACAAAGAGGTAAACAAGTACATTCAATTGTTATGTGCTTACATTATTATTACACTTCATTACCTACATAATAATCTTGTCTATACTTACTACAAAGATATAACATGATTATTTTATTACACTCGTTGCGTGTGTGTGTGTTTGTATATGTATATGTGTGTATATATATACAGTAGAATTTTGATTAACCGGACTAATTGTTGTCAATGGGCATTCGGATAATCGAAAATCCGGATGATCAAATGTATGAAGAATAATATTGTGTTTTTATTAAAAATAACAATTACATTCATAGATATCAACGAAAATAAATGTTTATTAAGAGATTAACACTTCTCTATGTTTGTACATACATATTTTCTTCGATTAAATTGCACCATTAATCATGCAAAAATTGGAATTGTAGATATGTACATACATATAAATTGGTGGTGGTTGGTTGTCCGGATAATCTCGAATCCATATAACCGAGCTCCAGATATTCGAGGTTCTACTGTTATATATATATATATATATATATATATATATATATATATATATATATATATATATATATATATATATATATATATATATATATATATATATATACATATATATACATATAATATATACATATATATATATATACTTATATATATATGAGTGAGTTCTTGAGGGCGATACATCAAACAAAGAAAAGCCAAAGATTTATAAAATAATTTTTATTTCCAAACGTTTCGACATTCAATTTAATGTCATCATCAGTGGATCTAAAAACAGTATGAAAATTAGCATATCTAGGTAATTATAATATATGTGGATTGGTAAAGTAACTATACAATAAGAGAAAAATTAACAAACAGCAACACTTAACAACAAACCAAATATAAAAGATAGGAAAGGTAGTAGAGACTAGAATTAAATAAATAATTAAAAAGTATATTATATGAGTGTACTTAAATATTTTTGCCTATACTTTTTAATTATTTATTTAATTCTAGTCTCTACTACCTTTCCTATCTTTTATATTTGGTTTGTTGTTAAGTGTTGCTGTTTGTTAATTTTTCTCTTATTGTATAGTTACTTTACCAATCCACATATATTATAATTACCTAGATATGCTAATTTTCATACTGTTTTTAGATCCACTGATGATGACATTAAATTGAATGTCGAAACGTTTGGAAATAAAAATTATTTTATAAATCTTTGGCTTTTCTTTGTTTGATGTATCGCCCTCAAGAACTCACTCATATATTTCAACATCAAAATTAACTACTAAATTATATATATATATATATATACATATATATACATATAATATATACATATATATATACTTATATATATATATATATATACATATATATATACATATATATAATATGTATAATTTATGTCACTATTTTAACTTACCTATATTTATGAATTTTTTAAAGCAGCCCTACTTGCAATATGGCATTGACCAAACGAACTCATGATGTTTTACCTAAACCTGCTCATGCTTCCAAGCAAATAAGTTCATTACATACAACTCCAAGAAAGGAACCTATTATGAGACCTGAATTAGGTTGCCAAATGGCACTTCATGGAATAGCAGATGATATTCTTAAAGATCTGAAACATGCATATAATAATAAAAATGATGTTACTTGTGATTTTCATCCAATGCAGATATTACAGCCTTCAGTCAATAAGTATTCACCTGTTAAAAAATTAAACCCATTAGATAGCAGTTTTATCGAAGTATCTAAAAATCAAAAACCTGCTTTAAAAAATCCAAGTATTCTTTCATCAACACTAACAGCTGGCACAACAGTATTAGATGATGAACATGAGTGGTAAGAATAACAATTAACTAATAAACATGGAAGTGTTTTTACATAATACTTGTAATCAAATGAGTATTTAAATTATTAAAAAAAAAGTAATATATTCTTATATCATATTCTATTCTTTGTATTTATAAATATAGAATGAAATGAGAAAAACAATTTTACCAAAAGTAATATTTAAAACAACAAACAAATTTAATATTTAATGTTTAGACTATTTAAAGATTAACATTTTTATAGTGGAATGGAGATGTCTGATGGCCTAGGTTCAGATTCTGATGGAGGTTGCAGTGATTCGGATAATAACGAAACAAGCTATACATTAGATAACTTATGTGTCTATGGTGATTTAGTTGCACAGGGTAACATCCTCTTATTTATTTATTAAATAAAAAATTCAATTGTATTCGGAGACCCCAAGCATTCAATAATTTTCAAACATTTTTATAATTATAATTTATTAATTTTGAACATAAAAATATATGAAGTTCAGGATATTTATAATTTATATTATTGTGTTTTAGGGGATTCTTTAATGGGTTGTCCTTTTACACCTAGCCTTTTTCCTAATGTACCACCATCTATAAATTTTGCTGATCATTCTGCCAAAACATCGACAATGCCTTTGAATGTTTATCGGATATTGAAGTGGAAGCTAACAAATATCACGCCTATTGTTGTCAGAAAGACTCTGCTAAATTCAGGATTTCGTCTTTTGAGAAGTAAGTTATATAAGTATTATTGATAAGAGAATTTTTTATTTAATTTTGTTGTTTTTGGAATCGGAATGAATAATATTAAATAAAAAGAGCAAAAAAAAAAAATAACAAAACCAAAAATACATAGTTATTTAATAGTTTAAGAAATTATTTTAAGGAGTATAATTGGATTACGGAATTATTTTATTTTATATTGTTTTATAGACACAAATGATTGGATGGGCACATGGGGTAAACACATGAAGAGCCCTTGTTTTAGGACTCTTAGAAGCCATCAAAAAATTAATCATTTTCCTGGTACATTTCAAATAGGTCGAAAGGATCGTCTTTGGAGAAATATGCACAAGTATATTATTATATATTACAGTGTATTCATATTTTTATCATATAAACTTAAAAATAAGCATCCCTTAACTTCAGATGTATCTTAAAATTTGGAAAACGTGAGTTTGGTTTCATACCTAGAACCTATGTTCTTCCACAAGATTTAAAATTGTTAAGGCAATCTTGGGATCATTATAGTCAACTTGAAGAAAAATGGATTATTAAACCAGTAAGTTCAATTTATAGTTTTATAAAGTTATATTACTACTTACATCAAATAAATGAGGTAAAATTTTAGCCTGCTTCAGCAAGGGGGACAGGTATTCGAGTAGTTCACAGATGGTCTCAGATTCCAAAACGAAAACCCACTGTTGTTCAAAAGTAAGATTGAAATTACTTTGTTCATAGCTTTGTTTATATTTGACATTACAAATTTTGAAATTCAAATCAAAATTTTTATGAATTTTAACTGATACTATATATTTATTGCATCAATTTATTTTTGAAAATGTTTTTTCATTTATAAGGTTTTAATGATTTGAGACTAAGATATTATATCTTAAAACTACTTTATTTTCTGAATTTGTTGACCCTACAATTATAATTTTAAGTATCAGAATTTTAAATTGAATTTTATATTATGACGACATTTTAATTATTCGACAGTTTTAAAATGTTTATCTTATTTTCCATAGCAAATGGTTATTTTGCATAACTTTGATATGTTGAAAATTGTTAATTTTGTTATTTCTGTTCTATTGTAATAATGTTATACTTACATACATTTTAATTTTAACAGATATATAGCTCGACCTCTATTGATTAATGGCAGCAAATTTGATTTGAGATTATATGTGCTTGTAACTTCAATGCATCCTCTAAGAATATATTTATATCCAGAAGGCTTGGCTAGATTTGCTTCAGGTTTGTTAAATATAAAATTCAATTAGTTTGGCTCTTGGCTGGTTGATGTAAGTCTAATATAATTGAAGTAAATTAATAATTTGATATGTGTTAAATTCATAAAAGTAAAATTTAAATCTTGAGTTTTAGTAGCTATCATATCATTAAAGAATGTAATTTTTGCAAATAATATATTTATAAAATCTTGTATATGAGCAATTCTGTCAACAGTCATATTTTTCATAATTTATATTTTTTAAGTAAAGTTTTCTGTTAGACCTTTTTTGTCAATTCAGTCAAGGGTCATTATTGACTTTTAAAATGGTTATTGACATGTTCATATAATTTTAGTCAAATACAATGATGATCCTACTTATTTAAGTGATCGATACATGCATTTAACTAATTATAGCATTAATAAGCTATCAACAACGTACAAAGCTAATGAAGATGCTAAAGCTTGTGATGGACATAAATGGTATGCTGCTTAAATTTATTTATGTGAAATTTGTTGAAATTATTATTTTTTCTTATTTTTATAGACAAGATTTATTTCTCTTCAGAGTTATGATTTTCTTTCATAACACGCCTTTGTCATTGCAGAAGAAAAAAGTTTAAAATGATATTTAATTACATATATGAATGAACTTACATTATAATTAAATTATTATTAACGGTTTAAGGATGACAAAATCAATACACTAATTCACATTATAGTTGAGAACAATTACACTAATTCAACTTTTCTTTTACATAAAATCTGTTTTTTTTGGGTCTTATTAGGTTATATATATATATATATATATATATATATATATATATATTAGGGTGGTCCTTAATAAGGACATTTTCGAATTTCCTTGCTCCCAAGGGCTCAAATGGTTCCAAATTAATAAAAAACAATTCTCTGAAAGTTTTAGCTCTTAATATTGTCTTTTAGATAGAGCGCAATTCAATCAAAGTTTTGTATGGAAATAGCATGAAAAAATTTTGAAAAATTTTGCAGAGCGTCGAATTTTCAATAAAAAAAATTACACGAATTTTCACTTTTAATTCATTTGTCGCTAAATTATACCTAAAATTTTTTTTTTTAATTTTCAAAATTTTTTCTATGCTATTCAAAGTTGATTGAATTGCGCTCTATCTAAAAGACAACATTAAGAGCTAAAACTTTCAGAGAATTGTTTTTTATCAATTTAGAACCATTTGAGCCCTTGAGAGCAAGGAAATTCGAAAATGTCCTTATTAAGGACCACCATAATATATATATATATATATATATATATATATAGATATAGAGATAGATATATATATAGATATATATCTAGATAGAGATATAGAGAGAGAGATATAGATAGATATATAGATATCTATCTATATATATATCTATATAGATATATATCTAGATATATATATATATTATATATATATATATATATATATATATATATATATTTATATATATATATATATATATATATATATATATAATTTACTAATTCTTCAGGACACTTTCTTCTTTATGGAATTATTTATCAGAGCAAGGGGTGAATGTAGAAGGATTACGGAAATCGTTAGCCGACTTGGTGATACGAACGATTGTGTGTGGTGAAAGTACTATTCAAGTTTTGAGTCGATTGAATATGGCAAGCCGTTACAATTGTTATGAGTTATTTGGCATTGATGTATTGCTGGATTCTGAGCTCAAGCCATGGTTACTTGAGGTACGTTCAAGTTAACTTAAAAGCTCTGCTTCCTAAAATTGTATGCTTGTCTTTGAGTATCAATTTGAGAGTATGTATGTATGTATTGGTATATAGTATGAATATATTTGCAAACAACTATTAGTCTAGATTCAACTTTACTGAAGTGTTATTACTATTGCATCATCTAACTTCTGACAAATGCCTATTATAAATGTAAAAATCATTGATTATTATAAACTTTAAATTTTTATATTAGGTAAACATTTCACCGTCGTTGCATTCAGCTAGTCCTCTTGATCTTCATGTTAAAGGTCCACTGGTTAAAGCACTGTTTAACACAGCACTATACAAAATACCTCCAAAATTAACAGAAGGTGAACAGCAAAAAATACTCAAGGAATTTAAACTTGATGTAAGTGTTTTTTTATTTTTGTGGTTAAATAACTGAGCATTGCTCTAGCTTTAAAATATTATATAATGAAAACGTAAAATGTTACTTAGCTATAGCTTTTGTTGAAACTTGTTTTTAGTAGTCCTGTATATATTACAACATAATATTAGTATAATGCAAACATGTTATGGTTTATATGTTTGATTTGTTAGTGCTATATATTTTGATTGTTAATTAAGAATTTCTTATTAAAGGGTCCGTTGTGTTATGACAAAAGATTATATTGTACTACTTTATCAAGACAAGAAAAAGAAAAACATTTGGAATTTGCAGCAGTAGAGAAACGTAGTGTGGTAAGTGTTAATTCAGCATATTTTATATTAATTATCAAAAACATCATTTTAAAATAATAAATTAAATTTACAGTATCTTTACACTATATTGGAACATTTAACTCCTGATGATGTACGGCATTTAATACAAGCTGAAGACGAATTAGTACATTGTGCACCTTTAGAGAGAATATTTCCTACAAGTACAACACACAATTATTTACAGTATTTTGAATCTCCACGTTACTACAATAGATTATTTGATGCCTGGGAACACAAATATGCAAAGAAAAGGAGTGATGGTAAATATATTTTTAAGTTTTAGAATATTATTGAAAGTAATATTTATTATGAATATTGATCTATACAGCATTTATATATAAATAACAAAAATTGAAATGAATTGGAGATCATACCAGGGTCGATGTAATCAAATATATTATTTGGATTAAATGTTAAAGACTTAGTTTCTTTCTCTTGAATTTATTTTAAATTAATTTGTATATAATATGATATTGAAGTTAAATTATATATATTTGCATACATCAATTGGCATCTATTATATTGTGTAAAATAATACTAATACTAATAATTTGTATTGATGTAGGTGTAGCACTTTTAAGACGGCTGTGTGCAGATAATGTTCATTTGGATGTACCACCTCATTCAACAATTTCAAATGTAAGTTCTTGATAATACTTATGTTATTAATTGTAAAATAATTATCAAAGAAAGTTATCATTATACTAAGCCACTAAAGAAACTGAAATTACCTCACCTCTTTCTTTTTCTTATTAAATGCCCATTTCAATGTTTTCATTTAGTGTTTATTGCATATAAACATTCAGATTTTTTTTTTTAATTTTTCTGCATATTTTCATTGTTATTTTTTACCTAATTTTCATGCTGCAAATTAAGTTATTATTTGTTATTCAATGTATTTTAAATTAACATAAAATTGCAACACAAATTAAAAGTATTTTATGTATCATGAATGATTGTTATCTCGATTTTATTAAAATAAATTTTTTTCGAATATAAAAATTGAGGGTGTCTGGCGTGTTATGAGAGGAACGTACTGGCGTTGGCGAACTCTTCAGTGCAGTAAGATATACTGTGAAATATAAATGTTAATAGTTTCATAGGTGCCAACATTTTACTTAGGCTATCCTCCTTATATAGTTTTATACTTCTTCTAATATACATATATATTTCTAGTCACATAGATTTAAAAAAAAAAATTGAATAGTCCGGATAATACATGGGTATGTAGTTTAATAAAATTTAGACATAGGTTTGGTATAAAATATATAATTTATATGAATTTAGTGAATTTTAGTTAATCAATGTTTAGCTTTGGGTTGAATAGGCCCAATTTAGATCTTTAGCTGTATGGATTCGATGATCTCAACTTCAATAACTGACCATTTTGAACATAGTACAAAACTGTGCATTATTATTTGCTTTTTTTATGTTGCAATAGTATATATATATATATATATATATATGTATGTATGTATGTATGTATTTATAGGTACTAGATATCAGTTAGATATTAATATTAAAAAAGCAAAAAAAATATTTATTTTTTGGTCAAATGTGTATGCTAGAGTTTTTGGGCCTCAAGAAATCCATATATTTTTTTGTACAAGTTATTACTATCAGAGTATACTTACTCTGCATGTTCATTTTCTACATAATTGTTTTGCTGCAAATATATATTTTTTTGTTTTTCTAATACAATATCTAATTTGATACTTTAATATTTGGTAAAAAAAAGCCTATATTGAAAATTTTATTGTAAAACTTTCCTACGCGCTACGGTTTTTTCAGCAAAGTTTCTTCAAAAGATCTTCAAAATTGAAGTATAAAGAAATCCAATATTTTTGCAATAGTTGGCTTTAATTATCTGTATCTTGTGTTGTATAAATTTAATTGGGTTCTACTTGGCGGCGTTAGAAAGATGAAATTGTATTTAATACGCGCAATTTTGATTTAGGCAATTTATTTGGGTAATTTTGATATTATATACGCTCGCGCTCTGGATGGCCAATTATCGAAAATGTCGACAAAATCATGGATTCAAACCGTCATGTTAGTCGATTTCGATTAACTAAGAGCTGAAAACTGTATGAGAAACCGTTTGTCATTTGAATAAGGCTAGACACACAAGGAAGCTCGATGTATGGATGGCACAAGAAAACCTGGGCCGAAATTTCAATCGCAAGGAAATCGCCACATTTTTGAAGCGATTGGTGACTGGTGATGAACAGTGAAAACTGTAATGTTCGAATCGCAGAGAATGGGCAGAAATGGGGGCCAAGCCAGGATTGGTATGTGGTGAGATTAGCAGTAAATTATATGCTGTGAGATGATCTCCTATGGCAAAACTCTTGACTAAGACTGTCAACAATTGATCCGTCTAGAGCAAGCAATAGTCTAGAAGTGGCCAGCTTTGGGCAATAGGAGAGGGATGGTGTTTTATCAGGACAACACCTGGCAACACACATTTGATAGTGACACGCCAGAAGCCTAGGGATTGTGAGGCCCGGGATTGGGAGGTTTTTATGCATCTATCTTATAGTTTGGACTTAACACCAAGCGATTAACATCTGTTCCTGTTCATTGCAAGCAGTTTTGCGGGTGAAAAATTCACTTCAAGAGAGGATTGTAAATAATCGTCTGTCTCGTTTTTTTTTTGCCAATAAGGACGATGGTTTCTATAAGAGAGATATAATCATATTACCTTCAAAATAGCAACAAGTTATCGAACAAAACGGCGCATGATTGATCTGAATTGGATCATTTTAACTATAGTAGTTATTAGCCTTAATTTCATGCAAAAATAATGGATTTCTTCTAATAATGTATTATAAATGCATATATATATATATATATATATATATATATATATATATATATATATATTTGAGCCCCCCATTTGAGCCATTGGGAGCAAGGAAATTCGAAAATGTCCATATTAAGGACCACCCTAATATATATATATATATATATATATATATATATGTGTGTGTGTGTGTGTGTGTGTAAACAGTCTAATCGGGCTTAACATCAATAAAAACATGATTTTCTTTCAAAAATTTACTTTACAGCCATACATTTCGTTCGTAATCCTAGCCTTCATTTAGTGGAAACTAAAAATAAATTTAAAAACTTAAACAATGTATGTCTTCAACCAGTTTACGGTCAACACATATATTACACGCTATCTTATTGTGAGTTAGTATTTTGTGAAATATTGTTTAATTATAAGTTTAATGTTTATATTACATAGTGTAGTGCATCACGATCCTGATTCCATGGATTATTGAATTTTCTATTTTAATACTAACATTAATTAATCGTAAGTATTTTTTACTCTTAATAATTTTTGTTATTCCCAGTTCAATATATATTCAAATTCAATAGTTTTTAATTTGATTTTTAGTTTCCACTGAATAAAGGCTAGGATTATAGCTGAAACGCTATAAAATGGATGTAAAATAAATTTTTGAAAGTAATACATGTTTTTATTGATGTTTTGCCTGATTATTAGACTTTGTTTATATATATATATATATATATATATATATATATATATATATAAAGTGGTATGGGGTATCTATATGATGTATATATGGTATGCATGCCCTTCTTATGGAGTTATATCACAACATGTTTAATTTCAACTAATTATCTCCTAAACCATTTAAAATATATATTTTATTTCGCCTTCCTACCACTGTACAAAAATTTCTAAAAAAAAAATCGCTTAAACATCATCTAAAATAACAAATACTATTAAATCAGACTTACTAACAATGAGAACAAACCGTTCCATATTTTTGTAATCGAAATATTGCGAAAATATTAAAAAAAATATATCGTTTTTAGTGACAAGCATTTGTGCCAGGCAATCAGAAAGTTTGATTTTGCAGTCCCTCACGAATTAGAAATACAAGTTGGAAATCATTAATCTTAGAAGCTGTTTTACCCACCTTTGGATTTTTGCATTCGGCAATTCTCCTTTGTAACTCACAGTTTTATATAAGATATCATAATATGTGCCATTTTTAGATAATTATTTAATAGGTTTTTGTGATATTCTTAAGAAATAGCAAAGATTCAATTTTAAGAGAGTGAGAGAGTGTACATTGCAATGGTTTTGATATCATAGAACAGAGTTGTGCGAGTTCTAAAATCATATATAAAAAATCAATCAAAATAATTTTATTTTTAGTAATGTTTATATACATATATATATATATATATATATATATATATATATATATATATTTACGAGGTCTGTTCAAAAAGTACCCGGAATTTTCGTTTTTTCAAAAAAATATTTATTTATTCGTCTACATTAATGTGGTCCCCTTCAAAGTAGTCCCCCCCAGATATAATACACTTATGCCAGCGTTTTTTCCAATTTTCGAAGCACCCTTGATATTCACTTTTTGATATGTCCTTGAGCACTCTCAGCGATTTTCTTCAATCGAGGAAAACCGCCGTCCTTTCATGGGTCTCTTCAACTTTGGGAATAGGAAAAAGTCACACGGAGCCATATCTGGTGAATTTTTGCACTTTGCAACACTTTATTTCATTTTTTACGCAAAATTTAATACAAATTCTTTGACTTTTCAATTCTTTCATTGTAAAAATCGCCGAGCTCAGAAAAGCACGTCGAACCTTAGCGACTACCACAGACAAAGTAAACAGTGAATATAGCTGAAAATTTCATCATACTTTAGGGGCATGTATACCAACACAATAAAAAAAAATTTTGACAATCAGACACTCCAGACCCGCGAAATTTAATTATTAGTAATTCCGGGTACTTTTTGAACACACCTCGTATATATATATATATATATATATATATATATATATATATATAGGGGATGCAATATGCTGCTTATACCCAGCTTAGATTAGATCGCTTTCCTAGGTATGTTAGGCTCAATAATACTAACTTGTACCTTTTGTATTCCTTTTGCCCACGTGGTCACCATTGTTAGACTTTCCTTTATGAGGAGAGAATATAGCTACTAATATGCTCTTTGAGCCAACTTTGACTTCTTGCAGTGTAATTGTCTTATTGAACATTGTCTTTACATTATGTATGTATGCAAATGGGTATGTGTGAGTGTGTGTGTACATTGTTGTTAGGTAGAGATTATGTGGCGTTGCGTGGCGGCTAGGGTTCCTCACAATTTAATATTATGCAGTATTTATAACCATTTTCACATAAAAAAATGTTTTCATCTGAAAATAGTTCTTAGGGGCTCTGCAGTGGCAACAGGGAATCTTATTAACTTCCCATAGGGTAAGTTATAGTAATCGCAAAAAAATCGACAATTGACAAGATGAAGAACTGATTGAATTTTTGAGAAGGCAGGTCCAGCAGTTATGGACTCTCAAAAAATAAGTAAAATAAATGCCATTTTGCGGTTAAAAATGTTCATTGGACATATATACATCAAATTATCAGATATTTTATAGAGATTTTAATAATGTGTACACATTTTGTGTATTTTTTATGGGATCCGTACCAAGATTTTTAATTTTAAAATTCACGTATATGTTTCAATCGATTCGTATTGTTAAGATGACATGCTGATTAGTTTTTAGACATAAGCAGGTCTAGCCATTTCGAAGATAAGGGATAAAAAGAGCCAAAAATGTGAGAACGGATTTTTTAAGAGAACGGATCATCCGATTAAATTAATTCAAAAAACACTTTGCTTGAGTAGACTAGACGGTGTGCAAAATATGCTTTTACAGAAAATTTCATAATTTTAAAAATATTCAAAAAATTCAAAGTTTCAAGAAATTCAAATTTTCTAAATTTTTCATCATTTTCAAAAAAAAAGAAACTAAATTTTGAAAGATTTCAAAAAATATCAAAATTAAAAAAAAACGATTTTTTACAAAAATTTGAGAGTTTTTCAAAATTTTTCAAAAAAATCAAATATTTTCAAATTCTCAAAAATTAAAAAAAAACTTTTTTTTTATAAGAATTCCAAAAAATTTCAAACTTCTAAAACAAATTTCAAAATTTTGAAAAATTTCTAAATTATCAAAAGAAATCAAATTTTAAAAAAATGAACAAATTTCTTATAAACATAGACAAAGTTGTCCGTAGAATACGCTTGTCGCCTAATTTAAAAAAGACATAAGTTTACAGTATGTATATATAATAAATAATCTAATTGAAATTATTCAAAATAATTATTGATTATTTTCATTTCTCGAATGTTTAATTACGGTACGGAAAGTTCCAGCAATTTGCCTTAAGGCACGATGCTATGCGCTCCACTAGTTAATTTAATTACTATTATAATTCTTGTGTGTGTGTATCTAGATCTAGATATCTATAGAAATTTATAGATAGATATAGATAATTTATATAAAACAAAATTTAGAAAATCAATTTAGCAATCAATCAAACGTTTTGAGCTTTCTTTTCATTTTCTGTAAAATTTGTATAAACTCCCAACAATAATTTAATATTAAAATAATATAAACACTAATACTTAGCGATTGTGTTCATAAAAATTGATTCATAGTACAAAAGTTTAACAGTTCATGAAGAGTTAGCACATAAATAAATGTTGTTTAAATGTTGTTTCGTATTGAATGTCAATTGATGAGTAAAAACGCTTCTCTAGAATAGCGTTTGGTTGGTTTTATTTGTGGTTGTAGCTTTCTGGTGCTGGTGGTTGTAGGGCTCCATCACCGCTCTTAAACCGGTGGGAGAGGTGCGCCATGCAAGGGATGCGGCCGATGAGAAACAGAGCACCCCAAATGCGAATGAACCCGCCGTCACATCTTTTCAAATTCAGAGCCAAGAAGCGCAATTCTAGCCGGGACAAGTTCTTCTCTCTGGGATAGTGCAAATAAATATACATATGCCATGGATTTGAACAATTTGATTGTTAATTAAAAATATAAGGAAAACTGAAATTGATTTTAATTTATTTTATTTGTTATCCATTCATTTCACTTCTACCTTTTTAGGAGCATTCCTAATATAAATTTGATCTTCAGATCTCATATGCTCATAATTTATCGTTTATTACACAAAGTGCAGACTGTCTATTCAGGTGTGGTTGGCAGTATATGCTTCGTTTTTTGCTGCTTAATAAGCATTAGTATGGGGAAATTTTGTATCAGTTTAATTATTGAAGTGCATATTTATTTTCGATCAACTAAAATTTAAATGCAGTGTGGTTGAGGTGTTTTTAATGACATGAATTGGCAATATACTTATTTGTTCATTTACTTATCTAATTTGGTTGATTAAGTATAAGTGAGCTTTCTTGTAGTAAAATTCCTTTTAAAGAATAGGGTTTTTATACATGGTTTTTTTATTTTACTGACAGGAGTTAAGGTTCTTAAATTCAGAAACTTTAAATAACTAAAATATTTATATGTATGCTCTATTGGAAAACCTTTTAACTTAGATTACATTATTAATAAGTTGTTCAACTTTTTTTTTTTTTTGCTATTATTTAAGAATTGAAAACAGGACTAAAACTTTTTTTTTCATTTTAATTTTAAAATGAATGGTTTAAGTCAATACATGTGACATTTACACTTAGAACAGAGACCAGTGAGAATAGGAAACACTCAAGTACATTAAGAAGACCATGTGAAATATCTCGGCATAATACCTCGATAGAAAATTTAATTGGCAAACTCACATCGAAAGAGGCAACAGCTTGAGATAAAAACCAAAAAGCTTTACTGGTTATTATGGACTAAATCCTAACAAAGCTCATACAATAAGTCACTTTTATATAAAACTTTATTCAAACCAATTTGGTGCTATGGAATACAATTGTGGGGCAGTGCTCATAAGACGAATATAGAAATAATACAGAAATTTCAGAACAAATTTTTGAAAATTGCCTTAGAAGTACTAAAATATATCCCGAACTGGCTAATTCATCTCGACACAAACACACCTAGCATAAATTCTCATCATTCACCCAAATTCACTAGCAAACTGCCTAGTTACAGAGAACTATCGACGAAGTTTAGAAAGAAAAGCACCACTGGATTTAAGTCATCAACTCTCCTGATAAAAATTGAAATAACTTAGTCATTTGTAAGAAATTATTCATAAATAAATAGTTAAGATTATATCATTATCAATAAAATATTGTTAATATTATAACGAATGGAAAAACAACTATTGAGTTGTTTTTCCAACATGCCCATTTAGTATACAATGTCCCTTCTAGGCTGACAATTGTAAATTCCCCAAATTTATTAAATGCCCCTAACTGGACAGTTGCAAATAAATTAGAGAATAAAAAAAATTAAAATGATTCAGATTTAAATATATATTAAAAATAAGAACATTCAAAAATCTAGGACAAAAAATTAAAAACAGGGACAAATATTGCTTCTAAAAAAATTTGGCACATTGTCACCTTAATTGTACAAATGGAAACTGACGATGTGCAAAGCTAATTAAATTTATTTCTAATATTTATTACAATTATTCACTATTATACATCTCTAAAAGTAGCCAGGATAAGGATCTGTGTGATTTTTTCTCAATACGAATTGAATTTTCCTATCCATGTCTTCATTATAAATGGCCTTGCACTTTTCATAATTTACTCGTCTGCGAGTCTGAAATACAATTGTATTGTCACCTTTATTGTATACATATCTAAATCGTGCCTATTACTCAGAGAATTCAAAATGAAAAGATTTGCATTACTAAATTATTACACTGGTTCATGCCATTGATAATGAGGATGGTGTACAAAAAGCATGGGATTCAAAGCATTCAAAGCTCATAAATATATAAACTGAAATATTTACCTGATAAGGCTTTTCGTAATATCTCGTTCGCCTGAATTGATCGAATATTCCTTCTTTTCCTAGAATTCGATTTAAAATTCGACAAGCTTCTTCTATGTTTCCATCCTGAACTAGAACCGTTCTTGCTAAAAATCGAACGTGTCGCATTTTCTATATTTTGTTAAATAAACTTTTTTCACATAAATATATAGTTTTGGTTTAAGCACAAACACATGTATGTTCAATTGTTCAATTCAGATGTCAACTGATTGTAGGTTATGTTCATTTTGAGCTCAGTGTTTCCTAAATTATTTCTAGAAACTTATGTTTTAATAATATATTCTATTTTAAATGAATGCCTAGATGAATATACGAGTATACTAACATTTTTTGATTATACATATTCAAAAAATAATAAAATAAATATTGTATTTTATGAGGCACGATAAACAATTCACTTATTAAATAAATAGTATTCCTTAGAAAGACTGCCTCCTTTTGTTATAAAGAGAATTTACCATGAAATAAATTATAACAAATTATTGATTATTAACTTCCCGTAGGGTAGTTATAGTAATGAGCCGAAAATCGAAAATGAATTTTTTTGCATTTCTTCACGTTTGAAGGTTTCTGAATATTTTGGCATACCTCAGAAAAAATGGATGTGTGTGTGTGTGCTTTTGTGTACGCATTTTTCATGATTTTTGTGTGTCCGATTTGAATGGTTCAAAAAACATTGGATCCCTATTGATAGGGAGATGTGCTGATTAGTTTTTGACAAAGGGACATGTCCTGCAGTAAGACTTAATGACGAAGTTATAGACCAAGCAGATACAGTCAAATATCTAGGTTTACACCTGGACAAGAGACTAACCTGGAAAGAACACATTAAGAAAAAGAGAAAGCAGCTTGAAGAAACCAGAAGAAGATATCATTGGCTCCTTGGACGAAAATCAAAACTTGACACTCATAATAAAATTTACCTCTATAAAGCCATCATCAAACCAATTTGGACATACGGCATACAGCTATGGGGATCAACTTCCAACTCAAACGCTTTAATAATTCAAAGATTTCAAAACAAGTTATTAAAAGAAATTTTGAAAGCACCAAAGTATGTTCCAAATTGGTTAATACACAAAGACTCAGGTACCAGCACAGTTAAGGATGAAATAATCGCTTACTCACACAAATATAGAAATCGCCTAGCTGACCACCCGAACTTGCTCGCGAGAAAACTTCAAATCAACTCTACCAGGGCCCGATTTAAAAGAAAATTTCTTCTGCACTAATCAACAATAGATGAGACCATTCGACAAATCACTGGCAATGGTCAGATGATTTGTATTTTGCCAACGCCTTCAGTTTCATGTCAAATATTTTACTTGTTGTCCGTTTCAGGACAGTTGTAAAAATTATTAAAATAAAAAAAAAAAAAAAAAAAAAAAGTTTTTGACAAAGTCAGGTCCAGCAGTTACGGAGATACGGAGCAAAGAGTACAGAAAATACAAATCGAGTTTTTGAGAGAACGGAGTGTCTGATTTGAACGATCTAAAAAACATTCAATTTGTAATGATTGGGAGAAAAGGTGATTAGTTTTTAGCAAAGGCAGGTCCAGCCATTTCGAAGATACAGAGCTAAATGTGCAAAAAATGGCAGTTTTTGAGAGAACTAAGCGTCCAATCTGAATTATTCAAAGAACTTTCTGCTTGTTTCAATAAAATCATTGCTTTCGGGAAAAAATTTTTTGTTTCTAATTTTTTTTTCAAAAAAAACTTTTTTTCATAAAATTTTTTATTTTGTATATCGAAAATAATTCAGGTTTTAATTTTAATTCTGTTCTAATATACTTTAAATAAATAATTTCAACTTTGCAATTCAGTTTATATAATTTTTATAAATATTAGAGACAATAAATAATAATATTCCTCGATCATTTCGTTGCGGTACGGGAAGTTCCAGCAATTTGCCTTAAGGCACGATGCCATACACCACTAATTTAATTTTAGTGCTTGTGAGTTTTTACTTATATAAAAGACGTATTATAAATTAATAATAGTCTATATTTTTTTAATAATATATGTTATAGTCCTTGAAAGTTTTACAATTTTAATCTAAATATGCTCAAATTTTACAAAAAAAAAATTTCAACGGAGTCAATACTTTAAGAAACACTGCTCCAAATTTGTAATTTAAATCCTACACTTGCAGTATGGAATTTAAGGAGTTTTTTTATCAGGTCGTTAAAAATTAATATTGGTTAATGTTTGCTAAAACTGTATTTTCGTATTCAATAAACCCCAGTAGACCCCAGATTAAAATTAAGAGGTTTTTGGTTAAGATATTGACTTAACTCGCTGCAATAGTTGTTCCAATTAGAATCTTGTTGGTAGTTCTGACATATGATATTTGACAGATGTTTCATAGTTAACTGTCGGAAGAAAAACATCTGTGCAAAAGGATTATTTAATTTTTAAAATGTCGAAATCTCCGAACGAGGATCTCTTGGATACATATAAGATAATAACGTCAAAATTGAGAAAGTATGATATAAATAAATTTGTTCCATTAAACCTGATGTTATTCTTTTTTGTTTACATTGCTTTGTAGGCGTTTTTTACGTAAACCAAATGTAGCAGAAGCTTCTGATGAATTTAATTCCCTAGCTATTCGTTGTGAGAGATCACAGGCTCTTGAATTTTCTGGTTTGTGCTGGCTGGGTGTAGCAAAATGTGAAGGGTCATTAGGTATGTTTTAGGTAAAAATCAGGCTGACATCACCTATAACCATTTACAATTATTCTATTGTTAAACAGGTAACTCATATTTAGAAATTGAAAGCTTACTGAAAGCAGCTCATTCATTTAACAACTCAAGAAATTTTAGCAAAAAGATTGGATGTAGCTGTATGAGGCATGAGATTACTAATGTAATTACTTGCACCTGCATTTTATACAAGAGATTAAATTTAACAATTTTATTATATATAGGCAAGCCTTAACTGTTATCATCATGCCATATCAAGGTTTAGAGAAAATTCACCATTATGTGTCGCATCACACATTGAGGCAAAAAATGTTTTAAATGATCAATTAGTTAAGGACATTGATTTTAATCAGATAACGCAAATTCATCCTGCATTGACTATACATACATTAACGTCAAGGTTGCAGCAATTAATTGATAATGGTGACATTTACATGAACACTGAGTTTAAAATAATTAAAACTTGATTATATGGATATAAATATTTTAGGTGATTACACCAATGCATTAGAGGTTTTGACACTGATGGATTCAAGTATAAATATATCTTCTTCCTCTGGAATTTTTAGAGATCTACTGATCAGGTTGTCTTATTAACCATGGAAAAGCATGTGTATTTAAAATACAAATGATAGTCATCGTTTATGATATAAAAATCTGATTAATTTTTCTAATAGGAATGAAATTACAAAGGTTTTACTTCTGGTCATGCTAGAACCACCAATTGGAAAATTATCTGTATCACAAGCAAAACTTATAGAAAAATACTCATGGGTTGACTTTAAAAACCCAAGTGAGTTATTTGAATAATTAATATCTTTAATGGTGTTGGAATTTCATATTCCATATATCTCTTTATTTTAACCATCCAATACTATTTAAAAATGTATTTAAAAAAATGTACATGGGAGTCTCATGTATTAATTGTTTTATTTAAAACAATTTACATGAGAGTATTTTTTAATAAGATTTCTTTTTCAGATGAGATTGATAATCTCCCAGAACAATTGGGCTTGTTAGTGTGTTCTTTGGTAGCTGCTTGGCAATGTAGAGACATAGATTCGATAAATGATATCAAGCCGAAAATAGTAGCTGAATTAACTAACATACAAAGACGCCTTCTTAATGATTTAATACGTGATCGGCTGATGTAGAAAAGAAGTATAAGTAAATAAAGATAGAATAATTTATTTCAATATTCATATTGATATTTGATATATTTTTATTCTACTTGTGATTTGAACAAGAAAATAAGATATTTGTGAATATCTTTACTCATTTTTAGTTATGTATGAATGCCAAAATATAAGTATTAATTTTTATAATAACGTTTTTTCTTGTTTATAAAAGTATAAAAGATTGATATGATCTGATCTGAGTATCTGTTTGATTGATATGTTCTGATCTTGATTCTGTTTTCAAAGAAAAAATCATCCTTATAACAATATTCTAGAGATAAAAGTCTTAAAAGTGAATCCGTAGAAAAGTTAACTGTATTTGTATATTTTACACATGTTTTAATATAAACCTACACCTTCCTGTGATTTTTCTCTTATCTCATTAAAGTGAAAATTTAATAGTAATATATATGCATATATATATATATATATATATATATATATATATATATATATAATATCCGTTAGTCCGTTAGACGGCGACGCGGCGCTTACGCGTTCGATATTTCGTCTCTATTATCGTCGCTAAAGCTTTGAAAAAAAGTTCAAATTTTCCAAAATAATTCAACATAAAATAAATTCCAAGTTTTTTTTCCAAAAAAATAATTTTTATTCAAAAATTTAAAATTTCTCAAAAATCTATTTTTTTTTTCAAAGTTAAAAACAAATATTTTTTTTTAAAAGAATTAAAAAAAAATTGGTACGGGAAGTACCAGCAATTTGCCTTAAGGCACGATGCCAAACATCACTAGTTTTCTTATTAGTTTCTTGAGCGGTTTCTACACTACTTATGTGCAGTTTTTCTTGTCATGGGGATTAAATAAGATAAATAAGATGACTGCTGAATAGAAACTTGACAAACAAAAATATATTACTTGGAGTACCATCAGAAAATTATAATATTTAAATATAAAATATAATATTGACAAACAATTTTAAAACAATCTAAAAGTCTATTAATTAGATAATTAACTATTTAGCAATTTTTATTTTCTTTCTCAAGAAGAAGAAAACCGAAATCTGAAATTGGGATATTTAATAATAATATTATAATATTTAATAATAATAATATAATATTTAATTGGGATTGTGGAACGATTAATCAATAATTGATATACATATGCAGTATTAATTAAAAAAAAATAGATTTTGTGTGCTTGTTCGTACTTGCTAATTTTCAATTTTCTCCAGCAATAGCAAATAATTCAAAATTATATTTTACTTAATAAATTTAGAATTTATTAATTACTTTAATTATTATTCTGTGTTATGCTTAGCGCTTGTCATACCATCAGGAGTCATATAATTACATAATGAATGTAATTATAATAAAATACATTAATATTTTATGTTAATGTTTTAACAATTATATTTTATTTTGATGTTACATCAATTTGATAATTTATAATATGAGAATGAACTAGTGGTGTATGGCATCGTGCCTTAAGGCAAATTTCTGAAACTTTGCGCAGCGTAACAAAATGTTCGAGAAATATATTAAATGTTTTCAAATAGATTACTTTAAAATGTTACATTGTCTAATAGTTATTTATAAGAATAATATAAACTGAATTACAAAGTTAAAATTATTTATTTAAAGTATGTAAATTAGCTTTAGAACTTCTGCCAGAATTAAATATGAAGTTTGAATTATCAATATAAAAAAAATTGAAACAAAAAAATTTTTTCTACAAAAACAATTATTTTGACTTATTATTATTTATTATTTTGATTTTGAAAGTTTGATCATTCAAATCGGATGCTTAGTTCTCTCAAAAACTGCCATTTTTTGTATATTTAGCTTTGTATCTTCGAAACGGCTGGACCTGTCTATGCGAAAAACTAATCACCACTTCTCGCCATCATTACGAATTGAAAGTTTTTTAGATCATTCAAATCGGATGCTCCGTTCTTACAAAAACTCGATTTCTATTTTTGCACTCTTTGCTCTGTATCTCCGTAACGGCTGGACCTGCCTTTGCCAAAAACTAATCAACACATATCCCTATGAATAGAAATCAAATTTTTTTTTGAACCAATCAAATCGGTTGATCCGTGCGCCCGAAAACGTGGACGAAAAAACGCGGACATACAAAACACACACACACACATACGTCAATTTTTTCTGAGGTATGGCAAATTGTTCAGAAACGTTCAAAATGTGAAGATATGCAAAAATTTTCATTTACAATTTTCGGTCCATTGCTATAACTACTCTACGGGAAGTTAAATATACCAATAAGATTGCAATTTAGATTTTCACTGCGTAACTTAACCCGATCATAATGCTATTATGGAGAAAATGATTAATTATTATTCAATCTTATTTATTAGAAAAGTTAATAGTGTGATTTTTATCACCGTTGTTTAATTCAATTTAACTATTAATTAAAAATGTGAAGTATATTTAAATGCCAGCAAAAGATGTTTGCGTTAGCAAATCTATTAAAAGCTTCGTATTTTCCATTGTTGCAAATGTATCGAGACATCGGGAACATTATTGTGTTAAACATATGATTTTTTTTGCCTAAATCTTTTGTATTGCCTCTGTACCCAGAAAAGTACGTTAAAAGGTGCTGTCGTATTTCGTGCAGGTATAAATTTGTTACTGGTTTAGTGATATATAATGCTATAAACTCCTTGCACTGAGAAAATTCGAGGGTTTAGAAGCATACATTTAAAATATGTAATTTAAAATTATTAGAGCTAAAATGTGCTTCTAAACAAAAGTAGAAACGTTGTGATAGCTGTTCCAAAATATAATATTATTTAAATATTTTTATAAGTATGATTTGCTATTTACAACGTTTTATGTGAATTATTAATTATACAGTTTGAGGAAAGTTCATTTTTCTAGTTACTGTTTTTTATCACATTTTTTAAATTTATTTTTTAGGACACTAAAATTGCAAAAATTAGAGAGTAAACAAAAGCTTTAAAATTTTTTTGAATACTTCGAAGATATTAAATTTTTAACAATTTTGAAATTTTTGAAAAAAAAAAGATTTTTGTAAAATATATGATTTATTTCATATTTTGAAATTATATTAAAATTTGGATTTTTTTTTTCAAAGTAATCGCAATGCGTAGATGTTTTAGAAAAGAAATGCAGCGTCGCTGTCTAATGAAACATTATAAATTTTAGTACGGAACCCATAGAAATGTAATCAAAATTGTTATTTAAATTCTCATCGAAATATCTGATAGTTTGATGCGCAAATGTGTGTTCATTTTTGGCCAAAAAATGGCGTTTTATTACTTTTTTCAATGGATCTCCGAAAAAGCTGTTTCCCAAAAATTTCATCAATTCGTTAATGCAAGTAAAATGTTTTTTGAATCATTCAAATCGTAAATTCTATTTTCTCATAAACTGAATTATCATTTTGGCACTTTTTGCTTCGTATTTTCGAAGCAGCTGGGCCTGCCTTGTCCAAAAACTAATCAGCACGTGTCAATAGGAATCGAATGTTTTTTGAATAATTCAAATCGGTGTTCTTGAAATCTTAGACGAAAAATTGTATCCGCGCATATATACACACACATACATCATATTTTCTAAGCTATGCTAAAATGTTCAGAAAACTTTGAAACGTAAAGATATAAAAATTACAATTTTTGTTTTTTATCTTCCCATAGGGTATGTTATTATAATCGTCCAAAAATCGAAATTGAAAATTTTTACATTTCTTAGCGTTTTGAAGGTTTCTGAACATATTGGCATACCTCAGAAAAAATGGATGTGTATGTGTGTGTGTGAATGTATGTATGGATACAATTTTTCGTTCACGTTTTCGGGAGCACGGATCAACCGATTTGAATGGTTCAAAAAAATTCGATTTCTATTGATAGGGAGATGTGCTGATTAGTTTTTGGCTAAGGCAGGTCCAACAGTTACGGAGATAAAGAGCAAAGAGTGCAGAAAATAGAAATCGAGTTTTTGAGTGAACGGAGTATCCGATTTGAATGCTCTAAAAAACATTCGATTCGTAATGACGGGGAGAAGTAGTGATTAGTTTTTCGCACTGGCAGGTTCAGCTGTTTTGGAGATACCGAGCTAAATGTGCAAAAAATAGCAGTTTTTGTGAGAATTAAGCATCTGATTTGAATGATTCAAAAAAACTTACTGCTTGTACAAAATGATTGCCTTTGAAAAAAAAAATATTTCAATTTTTTTTTTCTTAATTTTTTTTTTCTGTATCGAAAATAATTCAGATTTTAATTTTAATTCTGGCTAAAGTTCTAAAGCTCACTTATATACTTTAAATAAATAATTTTAACTTTTGTAATTCAGTTAATATAATTCTTATAAATATTAGACTAAGTAGACAATTTTACAGTATTTTGTTACGGTACGGGAAGTTCCAGCAATTTACCTTAAGGGACGATGCCATACACAACTAGTTTTTTGCTATTACTATAACTTACCCTAAAGTTTTTAATGAATCTTTTTATGATAGAGCTTATCATATCGAAAAGTTTTGCAACTTGCCTTAAGGCAAAATACCACTTACACTTAGTTCATTTATGTTGATCTCTAATTGATTTGATTAAACAAATTTGTATTTTGCGCGCTTCGAATCTGAAGGCGGGCTAATTTGACGAAGATTCGATATCAAATACTGAATTGTGATCTAAATGTTCAATGTACTGTTTTTTGGGCATTGCTGTAATAATTTCGATAGTGATTTCCCAGTGAGAATTCCTGCTCTTACGGTACTGTAATTACGTAGGACTATGAAGCTACAAATTTTCTACCTGAATTTATTGTTATACGATATTGTTTTCGTCCTTTCCGAGAGCGTTCAGCGCACATTCTCACAAGAGTTCGTTCGTTGTGGAGGGGATGCGCGGTTGCTTCTTATTGGATGAACTTCGAAACGTGCCGATTCTGCAAACGATATTCGTACCTTTCCAGTTTAAAAAAGATTTTTTGGCGGAGTAGTTGGTCTAGTCAAGCTATGTGATTTATCTATTTCTATTTATAAATTATTATTAATTATAATTATAAGCACAGTTTTCGTTTGTGACAACGTGAGAATTACGATTTCGTGTTTATTTCAAAAGCATTGGACATGAGTAACAGGTAAGTCGAAGATGATTGAAGAAACTAATGTCGGTTGTTGGGTTTTCTATTAGATTAGTGCGTAACTACCTTAAGTTGATTAATGATTTATGACACTTTACTGGTGTTACTTTATAATTTATTTTAAGTTGCAATGGGTTAGTTGAAAGTATATCGTTGAATTTAATTCTAACCCATATAAGAGAATGTACTTACCAGGTAGAAGTACATCATTGCTATAGATCAGTTTTTACTTTAGTAAATTTATGCATATTTCTAGAAATTAGTGATTAGTTATTACTTTATTATCATTTTTCATAAAAGAAGGCAAGTTGCTAGTTTCTCGAGCTATTCTGCAAAATTTGAATTTGTTTTTCTAATAATTTAGATTGGTCATATAGTATTATTATTTTGCTTGAATGTATTTAATTATAAAGAATATTTCGATTAATTTATTGGCTCCTGTCTTTGGTAATTATGTCTTGTCTTTATACTAGTTTCCTAATAATTTAGATTGGTCATATAGTATTATTATTTTGCTTGAATGTGTTTAATTATAAAGAATATTTCGATTAATTTATTGGCTCCTGTCTTTGGTAATTATGTCTTGTCTTTATACTAGTTTCCTAATAATTTAGATTGGTCATATAGTATTATTATTTTGCTTGAATGTGTTTAATTATAAAGAATATTTCGATTAATTTATTGGCTCCTGTCTTTGGTAATTATGTCTTGTTTTTATACTAGTTAAATGGTAATTGATGATACAAAAATTATTTTTTTTAGATCAATAGACATATCTGACAGAGAGGACCGTATGCATGGATTGTCTAAATCTTGGTTCCTGGTGGAATGGGATAATTCTGATGGCCCGAACACTTACGCTGTTGTTAATTGGTCCAGCTTGGTGGGACAACCAGCACGATCAAAGCTTTGTACTGGTAAAACTGTTATTGTAAGGAGAGGGAAAGATATGAAGCAAGCTGTTATTGTAATTATGTCTGGTAAGTTATTACTTAGTTTTGTAAATGTAAAGTAGACATAAGTAATAATCTCATAATTAATCTTGAACTAAATAAATTATAATATTTACACTTACTTTTCTGGTATATCCTTAGATGACAAAAGGTTCTTAGACACCGAATTGCAACAACTGCGCTCTATTGCAGCGGCCAATCTTCAGAACAAAGGCGAGGTAGTGTGGATTCTTCAATTATTAACTAAATCTATATATATAAAAATGTAATATGATTTTGATAAAAAAAAATATTTCATTTTGTTTTAGTAATTTTTTTTTATTTTAAATTAAAGAAAGAAATAAGTAGTTCATTTTTCTAAACCCTATGACTTAAAATTGTGCAAAACAGTATTCAAAATTATTATGCTATTTTATATTAGTGAAAATTATAGAATAAATCATTATTTTCTTTGTAGGTGAACAGAAAGAGACGAAAATTGCACTTGTCAGCTGATAGTCAATCAGATTGTATGTCAACTTCTAGACTGTGCTCACCATCACCACCACCCTCAAATCTTGCACCAACACTTCATTTCAACAGAACTGCTCCTCCCATGACTTTTGATCAGCAGACGCAAACTGAATCAAAAATTTTCATTGACAATAATGTTACTGTAGATAATTCTATTTTGTTAGAAATAAAACAAAATCAACTTTTTTTGAAAGAGGAAATACTAGGTATGATTTTAACATTCATTTTAATGATTAATTAATAATATAATTTATTTTCAGAATATCAAATTAATCATACTTATATAGCATAGGTTTTATTAACTTCTTTACATATGATAATTATTTTAGGTTTAATAAGGAAGACCGATCGCCTACAAAATTCTATCAATCAGTTGTTTGTGACACGCAGTGAATTTAAACCACTTAAATCTATATCACGAACAAGCTTATCTCCACCACGAAATAGTACACCAATTAGCGCGAAAGAACCAAGGAAATCATCTATTTCCAATGGTGCTCAGTCGCCAAATGAAAATATAAGTGGTGGTGTTGATTCTGATGCTGATTATGAGGATTACAAGTATCTTAATCCATTAGGCAATTCCCAGAAAATGAATTTGACCTTCAATGGATTTTCAAATAATATAGCTAATCTTCACGTGAAGCCTTGGGAGTCAGAAACTTATCCTAATGACATGGTGAGTTAATTTATATTGAATAAGTCCTTAAGAAAGAAATCTATAAGTAATTGTTTTCTCTAGTTTATTACTTTTGAGTTATACTTTAATGACCATTTTATAAATGCAGTCTTTTTTTATAAACTTTTAATGTTATTCATTATTCCAATAACTATTGTAATATTGTGTTAGGTACCTATTGGATCAGGAAAAACATTAGTGCCATTGCATGTGATGAATCAAATTAATTGGACCTCGCATAGCAATGCGACTAGGAGATTAATGATGGCGCTCTTTAACAGGCACACTCTTGCTACACATACTCTCACAGGAAAGGCTTCACCAGGTAAAGAGATACTTTATTTAATTTATTTTATTTTCAAATTTAAAATTAATCTATTTTGCCACTGACAAATATCTTAAGCTAAAAATATGCTAACTTGTAAACAATCTGTATAACTATAGAGAATAGTATAACTATAAAGAATTGTAACTGTGTTTTGGAGTTAGATTTGGTTTCAGTTATATTATCTCAAACCTTTTCTAACATCACGTAATTGGATTTGTTTTAGTATGACTAATGCATAATTTACAGATTGTAATATTCATGATGCTTTATTTATCTATATCCTGCTTGCGAGAATCTATGAAAGTAGTCATTACTTTAATTTTTTTTTTAAGTTGTAATTAAATATTTATTTTGTTGCATGTTCTACATAATTAAATACATCTATAGCTTTTCCATTTGTGTTGGCATTTGTATAATGGTCAAGGGTTTAACACTGTTCTCGATAAGTATTGCAATAATATAAGTTTTATTGATTAATTTATAATTTCTTCTAGCTTTTAATGGTGCCAATTCAAAGCCACAGAAGAGGCGTTTGGATCCGTCAATTATCTGTGATATAATAGAAACCGTGTCAAAATATTGTGGTGTGAAGGAGAGTGTAGTTCGAAGTGCAATCACAACTAAATGCGCAGACGAGAATAAAATGTTAAGAGCCAGGAAAGTAAAGGAAGAAGTTAGCAACGATGAAAATAAAGAACTAAATGATGTTGCTATTTAAATATATTTATTTATTTTTAGCATCACTAGTTCAATAATATTACATAGTATAATATTGTACTATAAGTTGCAATGAAGAGTAGAAACTGAACTAGATTTGGTGCTAATTTTATTTTTGTGATGATACATGATTTTTTAAGACTGATCTTTTATGGTAATTTTATATTATTCCAAATATTTATGTGATTTTGTTGTATATTGTTTTGAACTTCTATTTTTGTAGATGTTATGTACATTTGTTATTTTGCATGTGGTTCACATAAAAATATTTTACAGTATTGAGGCTCATTTTTATTTCATTTGTTTTAGAAATAATTATCTAGGAACGACTTTGTTGGTAGATTTCCAAAATGACGCTTTTCTGTTAAAATCGGCTTAAGTTCAGGCCAGACAGATGAACCCTGTAATATATAATTTTTACATAAAATCATAATTTTATTAAATGTTGGAACTTATTGAAAATAAAAACCTTTTGCATAAAATAAAGTATTAAGTATTAATACCTCAAAATAATTACAACCTTCCCTAGGAAACACATTGCTGATATTGTGTATTTTTATATAATGTCTTCTTTCACGTCGTCTCCAGTCACATTCTTCCTTCAAATTTTGGAAAGCAAAACTTATTGGGACATTCATAATTATGTATTTTTTTTTTTTTTTATTACGAATTATATCTAGTTGTTTTGTTTTGAACTTTTGAATTTTTAATATGTAGTAGACTGAGGATTGGCAGTATTTAAACTTTCATTTTAAACAGTATTTAAACAATTGTCTGGTAATATTAAGATATAAACTGGTAATTTACCAGTTTTAATTCTTTTAAATTGGTATTTTCAGATTATAGTGCTGAAAGGATATTGCACATTGTCATAAAAAATTAGCTCATCATTATTGATATATGACATGAAAATCAATATTACAATTGTCATAATAATCACTTTTTAAACCATCATAGTTAGTTTATTTTCAAGCAGTTTGTAGTAAGTATGTTGTTGCGTATTATTTTAATATTAGCAGGAATTTACTAATATTGTTTCATATAATAAATATAATAATAAATAATATAATTATTAACGTTTGTGACAATTTTCTTAAATGCATGTATGTATTTTAATTTTTTTGTTTTGTATGGATCACCAACAGAATCCTAGCTGAAAGTTTTTTTAGAGTACATATTATATTTTAACATATTATTAATCATATGTTTCATATCTACTATTAATTTTTTTAAATGTTTATGCCCACAAATTTATTCATTCATGACATTCTTTATTCATTCATAACATCCTTTATTTTAACTCGTGTATATAAAATAGGTTTCTTGGGTTTCAAGTACTATATATTGTTTACTCTTTTAAAAATCTGATAATTTTGTAAAAGTACAAATTACTTTTGAATATAAAACGCACTTAAAATAGAAGAAATGTGAACTTTCAATTAAGGGGTGTTTGAAAAATTATTGAAGTGCTTTTATGAGAGTTTTACAAAAAGTTTTCTTTAGATTTTGTTTCTAAGATTTTAATTGCAAAAGATGGATAAAATAATAATTAACTGGTAGTGCTCTGTTACAGCCTATGTTCTATTCATGGTCTATTATTATAATATTATCTAGGGTTATTTTCATTCAAACTCAAACGACAAAATTCGCACATAACGGTTGCGGATTTGAATTAGTAGAAATATGTTTCAACGGTAACTTCACACCTCACCTGACACTGCTTTTGTAAAACGTCAAAATTCTCAGATTGTTTTAAACCTTGGTTATGTTACAAATTCTTTTGATGTCCGTGTCATTTGTTATTTATTTATTCGTCGAAAGCAGTTAAATAATAATATAGACAGGAAGGCATGCTCTTCTGTTTTATATTATTAGATATATTTATTTAATCCAGGATTAATAAGATTGGAACAAATGGAAGCAGAGCACTTGTTGCTCTTTACATATACAAAAGTGAATAAATTAAGAATCATGCTTATCAAGTAAACTGAAACATTTCCTCTTAAAGAAATGTTTGAATTGAAAAATGTATTCTGTTTTCTTTGTATTTTTAACCGGAGTCGTAATCGGTCTTTACTTCGCCTCAATAGCTATTCAAATTCATACCACAAAACCGAGAACTGTTCCTAACAATCGCCACTATATTAATGTTAAAAATAATATATATGATGATTGGTTCCGCAAATCAACGAATTTCAATAGAAAGCAAATATCAAATGACGATCTTTTATATGGACATGAAGAATATAGCTTAGAGTCATCGTTTTTATTTAGCCAAGTGCCCATTCTCTGCGCAATGAAAATTAGCAAAATTAAAAATGCAATTGCTGCAAATAACACATGGCTAAGACATTGCAATGAACAAATGTTTTATGAATTGCCACCTAGAAATATCAGACATGCTAATAATTCACTAAAATTCAACAATTCGGTATCTTCATCTTGGCATTTGCTGTGCAATACAATAATTCACATACAAAATACTTATAAGAATAAAGTAAAATATGTTATTTTTGTAAATGATGATACATTTGTGATCCCTGAAAATTTGAGAATGGTTTTAGCAGGTTTCAAAAAAGAGTTTTACGTTTATATGGGTCATGCTATTATTTTTTGGGGTGTCACATACAATGTAGCGCAGTCTGGAATTGTTTTGGGAATGAATGTTATTGAAAGATTATCACATAAGTTTAAAAACAATGAAGAATGCCAAAATAGTGGAAAATATTGGAAACAGGAAGATTGGTATTTAGGTATGGTTAAAATTTGGAATAAATTTTATTATAATCATATTAATGATATTAAATGAATGGAATGTATAATTGAAAATACAGAAAGTAATTTGGCAATATTCACTTTATATATATTACAAATATTTCTTTAATATCGAAATATAATAGTAAACTTTTCAATATTTTTTTTTCAATTATTTATTTTTACCTTAGAAAATTCTAGCTTGTGTATGTATGTAGCTTGTATATTTAAGCAAGATAATTAAGAGGTTTCTCAAACTTTTTTTACAATTCTGAGATTTGTTATTAAAGAAGGTATAAAGATAAATCAGTATTCATATTTGATTTATATATATAACTTTAAAATATTTTTTTTTACTTTATTATTATGTTTTATTTTCAATTTTGTTAGTTCAAATTTTGTGATTGTTTTTTCTGGTGTGATACTGTATGAATTTAAAAAAAATTGCTGAATGATGACACACATACCATCTCGAAACATATAAAATAGTTTATTATTTACATTCTAGATATGTCTCAACATCGAACAAAAAAATCTAAATCTTATATATATATATATATATATATATATATATATATATATATGATGATAGTTTTGTTGACGTTGATATATATTTGTAATATTTTTGCAGCCCAATCGTCGAATTTAACCTTTTTTTAATATAAAAACAAAATTAAATAGAAAAATTATTTATTCCATTAAACGTTTTGACACTTGATGTGTGTCATCATTCAGTAATCAAACCAGGAAAAACAACAGTAAAAATTAATTAATGATGTAAAATTTATTGAACACTAAATTTGTGTAAAAAAATAATATACTAATATATTAATAACGAGGAATTAAAGGATCACATCTATTTAAAACAAATATATTACATAATTTATATGACACTATTTAGTGTATTACACATAGTTTATTTTACAACAAACACGATACACTATATTAATAATTCATTTTTTTTACAGGAAAGTATTTGGCTTCAATGAAAATTTTTCCTGTAAATCCTAATAATATAAATTCTAATAAAAATCTTAGTAGATTTCATGGATACAGTCTTGAACAATCAATGTTTCCTGGATCACAAAAAGTACTCAGCAAATATTATAAAAACTGGATTCATCCCGCAGATTGCTGCAGTTTCGAAACAATTACATTTAATGTTAGTTATATATATATATATATAATAATAATAATAATAATAATATATGGATTATATAATGTTGATTTCAATAGGCAGTTGAAGCTGATAAAATTTACCAATACAATTATTTAATATATGGCCTACATTTATTTACCTCTGGTAAATTTGGATTAGTTCCTGCATTTATACCTTTAACTGAGGAACAAGTAAGTTATGTTTATTTCATGATATAATGTATGTTATATGAATATATAAAACAATATTTCTTATAATTTTTTTTTTCTGGTACATATTGCTTATTAATTTTTCACTGTGCAGGTATGGCGTTCGGCTGTTAAAGAATATTCAGAAACTTTGGACTCTGAAGGATTTATATCATCTGTACAGTATTCAAAGATGTGGGAAAAGACATTAAATAACAACTCCAATGATATAAGAAAATTGAAAGGAAACTAATTTCTAATTTACTACTTTAAATTTTATAGATGTAATTGATTAACTTTACAGTTATGCTAACATTCTATGCTTTACTTTTTAAAATATCTTATAGATTATACATATATGAATTAACAGGGTTGAGGAAATACTAGGTGTTTCCTTATTTATTAAATTGATTTTCTTATTGATAAAATTTATTTCGGCCTTATGTAACAGTTCTTTGAAAATTGGGAGTATTTAATTTATGTTATTACACTATATTTTATTCAAATATTTTGTTTATATAAATACAGAGCTTTAATTGACGTGCAATAGAATAAATTTGAGTCTTTATGTACTCAGGTGCAGATTCTTTTGTATGAAGAAAAATTATATGAATTTGTATTATATTTCAATAATTGTATGCATGGTTGTATGAAATCTAATCCGTCCACAGATATGAAATAATTTATTATTGTAGGAAAGAAAAAAAAGAAATAAATCTAAAGTTTATCTACTGTTTTTTTTTATCATATTCACTGTATAATGTTGTAAATACATTATAATAAATAAACTGTTGTAAATACAAATAAAAAAATTAACTTTCTTACTTTTGTAGTTGAAATGTATTTTATTCTAGCTTTTTATTATAACTTTCTGATGTAAAATGTACCTTATTCTTAATATCATTATTATAGATAAACATAAATATATATTTTGCATAATAATTTAACATATTGTCAATACATGTCTAGGGCATATTATTATTAATCATTATCATTCATTCATATCACATCAAACAGAAAGTTCCAATATTTGTTTAGCTGACAATACAAAATAAAATATTTCTTATGGCCACAGTTCAAAATTTTATCCAAACTCAGAGAAACTAAATCTTGCTCCACAGGCATCAGTCTTCTTTTTTATTTTCCTGAAGGAGCTGATTATTCTCATCTTTGTTTGAATTTCCAGCTCCTCTACAGTATCTTCTATAAGCGCAGTTAGGCAATTGATCAGGATCCGTCACAAATTTCCCAACACAGCGTGTAGGAAGAGATACTCTAGGTGGGAATACATCCTTCACCAGCCTTCCCTCCGAGTACATTTGCTTAGCTAGTTTACGAACCGATGGCTGGCCCCAACCTTGTCCGAAACTAGTTTTTGTAGCACTTCTTGTTGTATTTAAAAATACAAGAAGTGCACATATGTGCTCGCACTGTTTTCGAAGTCGAGTACAGCATGTGCAGAAAGCGTCAACTACATTACGGTTTTCACCAAGCTACAAGAAATAAATAATTTATATGCTAAATCCATTTCATATTTTTCTGATTTATTTCTATTCTTTTACCTGCAATTTCACTTTATATGGCAACGGTGTCGAGCCAAACATTTGAGGTATAACAAAACATGTAATTATGTTTTCTACACCTCTCTTCTCCTCGACTTTTTTCACATAATCCGTGGCGACAAGTTTTTTGGCTTTTCTAAGCGTATTGGCACCAAAGGCGAAACTTGTTTTCACGGGTTCGAAGCCACTTCTTAAAATAAAATCCATCCTGACTGTAAATACAATACATATTAGTAATAACAAACAATATTTAAATTTTGAATTTCATTATTGTTACCTCTGTTATTGTAAACAAATAAAAGATCAATGAAGAGTAAATGTAAGATATAAAAACGACAACAAATTTCTAATAACCTAAAAATGCACGTGTTAGACCAAAACAAATTTTTCCGAGGACAAGTCATAAAGATGAAAGAAGAGCAATGAGTCATATGTAGTTTACCAACATTGAAAATCAACCAAGCCGACTGTCAAATTTTGGCGGTTAATATTCGACCGTGTTTCAAACATTGGTATTACTTATTACATATATTTTGTTGATAATTTTACTGCAATTTGACCCTATAAAAGATCAAGTAATATTATTTTCAATCGTTAGTTGATTCATCATCTCCGTCGGGTGTAGAAGGTGGTTTCTGCATACTACCCCTTTGCCGAACTGTTGAAAAAATCACTTGACATTATGGTAAGTTCTATCATACCATTTATATTTGATTTATGAGTTAATTATATTATACTTTATCTATGAGTTCTCCATAGTTTTAGGAACCATATTTTGTGTATTTACTAGGCTATTATTGTTAATATTATTTTTTAGAGGGAATGCATTTCAATACATATTGGACAAGCAGGTGTGCAGATGGGGAACGCTTGTTGGGAACTCTATTGTTTAGAACATAATATTCAACCTGATGGGCAAGGATGTGAATCTGTTAAACCTGCATCCGAAAATTCATTCGGCACGTTTTTCAGTGAGACTGGTTCTGGAAAATACGTGCCGAGAGCTGTTTTTGTGGATTTAGAACCTTCTGTTTTAGGTGAATTTTGATATTTTGGGCAATAGTCGCATTATACATCCTTCAATTAACATCCTAAATTTTTGCAGATGAAGTTCGTTCTGGTGCCTACAAGGACCTGTATCATCCTGAACAACTTATTAATGGCAAAGAAGATGCAGCAAATAACTATGCTCGAGGGCATTATACTGTAGGAAAAGAAATAGCTGACCCAGTAATGGACAGAATTAGAAAATTAGCAGATCAATGCACTGGCTTACAAGGGTTCCTTGTATTCCATTCATTTGGTGGTGGCACTGGATCTGGATTCACATCTTTGCTCATGGAACGTTTATCTGTTGATTATGGAAAAAAATCAAAATTACAGTTTGCTATATATCCTGCTCCTCAAGTATCTACATCAGTTGTTGAACCATATAATTCAATATTAACAACACATACTACTTTGGAACATTCGGATTGCGCCTTCATGGTTGACAATGAAGCTATCTTTGAACTATGCAAGCGCAACTTATGTATTCAGCGACCTAACTATCCACACTTGAATCGCCTAGTTAGCCAAGTGGTCTCATCAATAACAACTTCTTTAAGATTTGATGGAGCTATCAATGTGGATTTAAATGAATTTCAAACCAATCTTGTGCCCTATCCACGGATACATTTTCCATTAATAACATATGCCCCTATCATTTCTGCAGAAAAAGCATATCATGAGCAAATATCTGTAGCAGAGATCACTAGTGCGTGCTTTGAACCAGCTAATCAAATGGTAAAATGTGACCCACGTCTTGGCAAATATATGGCTTGCTGCATGCTGTATCGAGGTGATATTGTACCTAAAGATGTTAATTCGGCAATTGCAACTATCAAGAGCAAGAAAAGTGTTCAATTTGTTGATTGGTGCCCAACTGGCTTCAAAATTGGAATAAACTGCCAACCTCCTACTTTAGTGCCCGGGGCAAATTTAGCAAAAGTGCAAAGAGCTGTTTGCATGTTATCTAATACAACAGCAATTGCAGAAGCTTGGTCAAGGCTAAATCACAAATTTGATTTGATGTATGCTAAACGAGCATTTGTACACTGGTTTGTTGGAGAAGGTATGGAAGAAGGAGAATTTAGTGAAGCACGAGAGGATTTAGCCGCACTTGAAAAGGATTATGAAGAGGTTGCAACAGACTCTGTTGAGAGTGACGGCGCGGCAGATGATGAATACTAACCTGTCTTTTAATTGTTTTTATTTATAATTCCACTGTGATGTTTTATGTATATTTTATAATTAGTATATTCTGTGAATATACAAGTTGCATTCCATACACTATTTCTCTTTGTACACATTTATCTATATGAAAGATAAATATCTTTGAACTAATACATGCTCTTTGAAAAACCAAAAACATTTATGTTAACATTTGGACTTCTGGGTAAATAAATCATTTAATTTTACTAAAATCTTCTAAAAACAAGTATTTAATAATACTAAAAGATAATATAGAAAAGTTATCAACAAAATATGAATTAATTAATAAAATAATTATTTGTTATTTAAATAACACAAATAAATTGTACATTCATTTATGAAACTGATTGCTATACAATGACCGATTTTATGATCAAATTATATGTAACTGGCATGTGTTAAGAGCAGGTTACATAGTCCCTTATACGTAAATAATCCGCTTAAACGATAGAAATTGAGATTTAGAGAGAAAATTCCCTTTATTTAAAAAATAAACTTTTTGCTTTGATTACATATCATTCCAATTGATATCCTAATATTAATTAATTTATATAACTCAATCATTATTTCGTAGGCTTCTCTTATTTTAAGATGTTCGTTTTATGCAAGAATCTATCGTAATGTTGAATTTAATTGAAAATGCCAAATTTTTCGTTTCAACAATTGCCAAAAGCTAATTATTAGAACGATTCGAACGGTATTTCAATTTTCAAAATCGGTTCAGATTTTTTTTTGCCAAAACGCCCACATAATCAAGGCGTAAGTAATAGTAATCGCAAAAAATCGAAAATGAGCATTTTTGCTTATCTTTAAGTTTCAAAGATTTATGAACATTTTGGCATACTTTAGAAAAAATGGATGTAAGTGTGTCCTGTGTGTGTTTTATAACTTCCCGTAGGGTCAGTTATAGTAATCGCAAAAAAATCGAAAATGGAAAATTTTATATAACTTCACGTTTCAAAGGTTTCTGAATATTTAGGCATACCGTAGAAAATATTGATGTATGTGTGCGTGCGCATGTAGGTGTGTGTGCGGATATAAATTTTCGTCGACGATTTCGGGAACAGCGATCAACTGATTTGAATAATTCAAAAAACATTCGATTCATATTGATAAGGAGATGTGCTGATTAGTTTTTGGCGAAGGCAGGTCTAGCCGTTCCAAAGATACCGGGCAAAAAGTACCAACAACGGTAACTTAGCTTTCAAGAGAACGGAGCGTCCGATTTTAATAAATTAAAAAACATTTTACTTGTATTGATAAGATGAACGAATCAAAAATGTTTATTGGACGTATGCACATCAAATTATCAGATATTTTATAGAGATTTTAATAATGTGTACACATTTTGTGTAAATTTTACTGGGTTCCGTACCAAGGTTATTAATTACGGTACGGGAATAGTTCTAGCAATTTGCCTTAAGGCACGATGCCATGTACAGATATATAAAAATTTTCATTTAGGGGAAGTTAAAAAATCAAATTTGTCAAAATTTTCAAAAAAAAAATAAAGTATTCAAAATTCCTAAATAGCGGTATCGTGCATACACCACTAGTTACAATATTTATGTAAAGTAATAATGTTATGTTCGGTCCTTCAATGCGAGTATCTTTTCCATGCGAATCGAAGTGAAACGTGACGAAGTGGCCAGAAGGCTTATTTAGTTGCATGTGCATCGCTTGCAGTCGCGTTAAGCAGGCACGAGTAAATGATATCACCTATAAGAAAGATTTGCTTGTTTTGATTGGTAAGTTTTACAATAAAATAATTAGAAACTAATTAATTACTTCTATTGAATCACAATTTTCTGTTGGGCGACAGTATCATCAGATTTTATACGAAATAAAATAATAATTTGTATGAAGTATCAAATTTTTCATTTACTCGAAACACAAGAAAATAATTTTGTCGTCGTTTGTTTAAAAACATGAAAGATTATTATGATTGTTTTATCACTATGGGAGCACATCATACTTGGAATTTTCTCGTGGCCTTACGGTTAGCATTACCAGAGAGTCTCTCGATCAGTATTGACAAATATGGATAGCGATATATTTCCAAGTAAGAATAACATTTCGGGGCATTGCTGCATTCTAGTAATAAATTCATCGAAGAGAGATATGCCACCTAATGGGTTTCTTTCTATAAAGCCATTTTTATTAAGAAGTCGCCATAAAAAGGTTTCACTACTATTAGGTAGTGTTTGCTGTTGATAAAAATATAAAAAGACCGCATGATGTTATAGTATTATTATCAATGTTATATAACCAAATTTAAAATTTTGTCAAAATAAACAACATATGGGCAAAAGGGTTTTTTCATTTTTACTGTATATAAATAACAGTATCAGTTTTATATAACACGAGATTAAGATAAATAATAACACAATGTTTTTATCAATTATTAAAATGTGCTATATTTGGTAATATGTAAATGCATTTTTGCATTAACAATTTTAATAACCCTAAAACCAATAAGGCATGGAACAAATCCATTTATAAAAATATCAATCTACAAAAATATTAGTGTTTGTTTATTGTATACATTATGATTCAGTCAGAATAATAGAAATGCTTGTCCGAGGAGTTATCATATATTGCGTAAAATTAATTTTAAATTTTTTATCGGCTTGAATTGATACTATACTAATTGAAAATAACATAAGTTTTTATTAAATATAGCTCACTTAGCAGCGTGTTCGATTCATACGACAGGGATCTTTGGATCGAATTCTGTCATTGACTTGGAATTTAAGAAAAAAAAAGATGTCTATACTTAAATTGAAATTTAATTTCAAACTAGTTGGTATTGGTATTTAGCCTTGAAGCAAGTTACATGAACTTCCCGATATGTGTAAATAATTGACTTAATCAATAATAAACAAATTAATTTATTAGTGATTAGAAGTATTTCGAGAGGATTTATTACACATAATTGAAAACGAACGAACACGTTAACTCGGAGTATTTTCTAAAAGCTAATTTTCACGAATCAATAATTTTCATAATTGAACCAGTTTTCGTAGGATGTTAATGGTATAGTATGTTCATTAAGACCAAGTAATCTATCGTTATACCAAGTAAATCATCTAATTTTAATTTTAACAAACGTCAACAGTACTATTCATTTTCTCAAACTTTGATGAATTTTTAAAATTAAACTACTTGTCGTAAGGCCGTAATATTTCAGTAAGTTCTATAAGACCATGATATACATCGCCAAAGAAAGTTTCATAAAAATCGGCTTAATTTTTTTTTCGACAGTTAATTACAAGAAAACGGCTCGGTAGATTTTCACCTAAAACTAATCAGTATTATTCCCAACAAATACCTTTCGAACAGTTTTTGATTTTCTAAAATCAATTCGGTAGAATGAGCTTAAATGTGGACGAAAAGTTTAACACTCTTTTTCAAATTACAAAGAAAGGGCTCGGCAGATTGTCTCACAAAACTGACAAACTATAGTGCTCATTGAGATACATCGAATGGCTTTTAAATTTCTGAAATCGGTTCAGGCGTTTTTGAGAAAACGTATATGAAAGGTCTAATTTTGACAAATGCCAAAAAACGATACCAATTTTTGCAAACTTTGACGAATTTTTAAAGCTGAACGAGTTGTCGTAGGGCGATAATATTGTAGTATGATCTAGAAGACTATGATATCTTCCGTAAAAAAAAAAATAAAAATTGTCCAAATTTTTTTTTAAACTTTATTACAAGAAAACGGCCCGGCTGATCTTTACCAAAAACTAATCAGCAATATCTTTCGAACGGTTTTTGAATTTTCAGAATCGATTCAGAATTGCGGGCTAAAACGTGGACGAAAATTTTTTCACCTTTCTGCTATTTATAAAGAAACGGCTTGGTCGATCGTCGCACAAAACTCAGAAACGCTAGTCGTCATCGAGATACATCGAATGGCTTTTAAATTTTTGAAATCGGTCGAACCGTTTTTGAGAAAACGTCGATTTACGGCAAAAAATCTGTGCACATACACGCACACACACACACATACACACCCACACATACTTTTTCCAAACTTGGTCTCATTCGATTCAGAATGACTTAAAACGTCGAGAAAACATAAAATTAGCGAATCGGATTTTTTTGATGAAAACATAAACTTCGGGAAGTTAATTAATAATAATTAATAATAAGTAGAATTTGATTTGTTGTTGTTGAGTAGAGTTTGAATAAAAATTAAAAGTAAGAATAGAAATCACAGAATATCGAATAGCTGAGTTGTAGGAGTAAGAAGAAAAATAATAAAACTGGCTGAGATTAAAAGAAGAATGAAGAAATAAAATAGAATGAAGAGTGAAAGGAGTTGAATAGAATTAGAAATTTGAAATGAAAGAGCAAGAATTGAAGAGAGAGAATGAGGAAATCAAAATTGAAGAAAATTATTGCAGGAAATTGAAGAAGAAAATAAGAATAAAAATATAAATATATGGTGTATGGCATCGTGCCTTAAGGCAAATTTGAAAATTGAAACAAAAAAATAAATTTTCGAGAAATTTTGAATTTTTGGGGAAAAAAAAGTCTTTTCTTATTTAAAATCTTTTGGAAATTTTGAACATTTTTTCAAAGCAATCGCACTGCTTTAGCTACATAAAGACGAAATATCGAAGCGCGTAAGCGCCGCGTCGTTGTTTAACGGACAAACGACGTTCCGGAACTCAAAGAAATGTAAAGAAAATTGATATACATTATTAAAATCTTCATAAAATATCTGATAATTTAAATGTGCATATGTCTAATGATCATATTTGACCGCCTAATGTTTTTTTTTTACTTTTTTCATTAGATCTCCGAAACCGCTAGACTTGCCTTCCCAAAAATTTAATCAGTTTTTCATATTGTCAATACAAGTAAAATGTTTTTTGAATTATTGAAATGGGACGCTCCGTTCTCTTAAAAACTGAGTTACCATTTTTAGAACTTTTTGCCCCGAATCTCTGGAACGACTAGACCTGCCTTTGCCGAAAACTAATCGGCACGTCTCCTTATCATTACGAATCGAATGTTTTTTGGATCGGTCTCACCCTGGTTTTAGAACAATTTATACGCCATTTTCATCACTTAAAGATATAGAAGGAAGTATGATCAAGTAAAATTAACCTTTTACGAGCATTTTGTATTAAAATTGAATATA